TGACTGTCGAGGGCCTGGTTGGCCGCCGCCACGGCCGCTGCCGCCGCTGTCCGTCGTCGTCTTCGTTGTCGTCGTTGTCGTCGTCCTCGTACTTTGTCCCATCCTCGTCCACCTGACCTCCTCCCCTCCTCGTCCACTTCCCCCTCTCCTCCTCCTCCTCCTCCTCCCCCGCGTCCTCCTCCTCCTCCTTACCTCCTCCTCCTCCTCCTCCTCCTTCCCCTCTCTCCTCCTCCTCCCCTCCTCCCTCCTCTTCCCCCTCCCTCCTCCTCCTCCCCTCCCCCTACTCCCTCCCTCTTCCTTCCTCCCCCCCGTCCTCCCGTCCTCCTCTCTCCTCCTCCTCCTCGCCCTCCTCTGGCCTCCTCCTCCTCCTCCTCGTCCTCTTTCCTTCTCTCCACCTCCTCCCCCCCCCCCCCCCCCTCCTCCTCCTCCCCCCCCACCCCCCCCTCCTCCTCCTCCTCCTCCTCCCCCTCCTCCTCGCAGGGGCAGGGTGACGACCCACCCAATTCATATGCCAGCGCCTGGCGCGGAAGCCGCAGAACGCGGAGAAATGCCCAAGAGGGGTAGAAGGGGGTGCTGAAAAGATGAGGGGAAGGGAAAGAGGGAGGGGAAGAGGAGAGCAAGAGAGAGGGAAGAGGGATGGGAAATAGGGAGGAAAGGGGAGTGAGGAACAAGGAAGGGAAAGAGGGAGGGAAGATGAGGGCAAATAGTGAGCACAGAGAGAGCAAGGAGAGAGGGAACAGCCAAGCTAAGTGCGCTCACGGCCCTCATATCCTCCCCCTGTGGAAAGGGGAAATGAACACAGTGCCGATGTGCCCCCAAAATTCAGAAACCTAACTAACTTTCATTATTCGAATGTGTTAGATTGGATATGGACTATTCAGAATACATGTTCGGAACACATTCATGGCGCGATTAGATTGGGTCCCATATAAGGTTATGAGTCCACCTAACTGACAGTAGTGGTACTGGGAATGGTTGTGGAAGTGGTGGCGGTGGAGGTGGCGGTGGCCTTGGAAGAAGCCCCCAAAGTGGACCTCTGGCTCACGACTGTTGGCCCTAAGCCCACGATTTTTTGTTCCGCGTGGTGTCGGGGCCTGCCTGGGGGTCTCCCGCGTGTTGCCCGGGCCTCCCGCACGGTGTCGGGGTCTCCCCTGGGGGTTCCGCGTGGTCTCGAGGTCTCCCGCGTGGTCTCGGGGCCACCCGCGCGGTGTCGGGGCTTCCCGGGTCCCTGACACCACGCGAACCGTTGAAGGTCTTGAGGGCCCTGAAGTTCTTGAAGTCCCAGACTTCGGGTGTTCTTGGAGCTCCTGAAGCTTCTGAAGCTGTTGCAGCTTCCGAGTCTGCTGAAGCTCTTGAAGTTCCTGAAGCTTCCGAAGTTCCTGAAGTTCCCGAAGCTCCTGTAGCTCCTGATACCCCTGAAGCTCCTGAAGCTTGCGAAGCTTTGGAACCTCATGAAGCTACTGAAGCTCCCGGAGCCTGTGCGGCTTTTGCAGATTCTGAACTCCCGAAGCTCCCGAGATTCCCACAGCTTCTGAAGCTCCTGAAGTTCCGAAAGCTCGTGCAGCTGCTGAAGCTGCTGAAGCCTCTGAGGCTCCAGCGCGTCAGAAGCGTCAGAAGCGTCGCGAAGCTCGTGGGGCCCGGAGCGCCGGGGGCGCGTCAGCAGCGTCACCAGCGTCGGATGCCTGGGGGCACCGCCTGCCCCGTCGGGCCGTCGGGCCGCGGCGGCGCTGCGCCCTGCGCCGCAGGACGTCCTCGTCCCGCTGCCCAGGCCGGGCGGCGCCGTGCCGGAGTGCCCGGGGCGCCTGGCCCTGGAGAAGACGCTGCGCGGCCTGGTGCCCGGGCGCCTCCGCAGCCCGCCCTGCGCCTGCCGCTGCCGGCGCCTGCCGCTGCCAGACCTCCGACGTAGCCAGACCCAGATCCTCCTCCTCCGCCGCCTCCTCCTCCTCCGCCTCCTCCTTCTCATCCTCCTCCCCCTCCTCCTGCTCCACATCAAAAAAACGGCTCAGGATGAAAACAGGCCCCAGGGAAAGGGTATTCCAAAAACCGCGTATGTAATACACCAGGACGTCGCATGTCTGGGGAGGGGCGCAGACCTCCAACGTATCAGGGTCCACCTCGACTCGACCAGTCCGATCGCAGCTGTCTCGAGATTTTAGGCTGGCCCGTTCCAGCTCGATGCCGATGTCCTGGCGATCCGATGCTGTCGATGCTTGCGTGGCGCTGTAGTTAGTTCGTGTACTTGGGCTCGGCCGATGCGATTTGTTTCCGCTTCCCGCCGCTGCCTCTCACGGGGCGTTCTCGCCCTGAGATCTTGGCGTCGCATTGATGTGTTCACACCCACCCTGCGGGCGTTTTCGCTCGGCATCGGGCCCTGGAACCACAGATCGCTCCTCGTCTCGGAAAATTGAGCAGCAGGATTAGGTCTAGGGTTCTGATCATGATTACAGATCGTGTTGAAATTCTAAACGTTTTGCGCATCCCCATCAGCCCATCCAGAAACTGTTTGCCAGGCGAGCTGCCTTGATCAGGGAAGTGTAGAAGCATGCCGTCTTACAACCTCCTTGGAAGTGTTTTCTCGGAGATCTCTTGGAGCCATCTTGGGTCTCTCTTGGGGTCCTCGCGTCGCCACTTGGGGCACTCCTTGGGCCCTCTTGGAGTTCCTTTGGGGGGTCTAGGGGCCCTCTTAGAGGCTCTTTGGGGGGGTCTGGGAGGCGTCTTGGGGCGATTTTTGGGCCCACTGTTCAAATAGAGGGGGTCCTAATTGCAGCTCCCCCCTCGGAGGCTCAAACATGGAGTCTTGGTGCGGCCTTGGGGCGCTCTTGGAGCCGTCTTGTGTCCCTCTTGGGCCCCTCTTGGTGCTCTGTTGGGCCGTCTTGGGGGTATCTTGAGGGCTAACGAACCCATCGGAAGCGAAAGTGCGACAAGGCACACAAACAAGTGTTCCGTAAGTTCTAGAGCAACTTCGGTTTCTTGGTGGCTTCTTGTGGTGGCCCGAACGGCACTTGAAACCATCTTGGGGCCGTTTTGGAGCCTCTTGGGGATAGTTGTGTCGGAAGCTATCTTGAGCCATCGTCGATTATTTTGAGCCATCTTGGGGACCATCTTGAGCTCTCTGAGGCCCTCGTGGAGCTATCTTGGGCCATCTTGGACGCTCTACCCCCTCGCGGGGCGCCCCGTCCAGACCCAGCGTAGGGGGGTTGGCGAAGGGGTCGAGGACCCCCCAAGACCGCAAGTCCCACCCGCCCTCCCAACACATAAGTAGCACCCGAGTCTCAGCACATCGCGGAGGAGCGCCACGCATGCTATGTGCGCCACAGGTTCCGGTGCACCAGGCACCCTGGAGGCCCATGCGTGCGAGGCGCGGCAAGTCCGGCACGTGCTCCACAGACGCCAAGTGCGCCACGTGCTCCAGCCGCGCAAAGTGCGCCCCGTGCTCGGCGCGCGCAGTGCGTGCGAGGCGCGCCAGTGCACAGTCGTCACGGAGTGGATTCTGTATTGTTTTTTTTGACAGGGATGGTTGGCCTGCGCGCATCAAGCAATATGCCAGCACCCTCGCCATCCCTGTCAAAAGCCAAGGCAGAGTGCGCAGTCGCGGGGTGCCCGCCGAGTGGTCGCGGGGCGCCTGCGCACCGCGCATGCTTCGGGCATGGAGGCGAAGTGCATTCTGGATTGTTTGTTGACAGGGACGGTCGGCTTGCGGCCAACTTGTGCGCAAGAGCATGCCGGCACCCCCGCCGTCCCTGTCAAGAACCAATGAAAAGTGATCGCGGGTCGCCCGTGCAGGTTCGTCATTTGGAGGCAGAGTGCCTTTGTATTGTTTTCTGACAGGGATGGCGCGGGGGCATGTCCCCCGTTGCCAGCAGAGGGGGCCCCGTTGGCGCGCGACGACGTCCTGGGCCCACTCGACGCGGCCGCGCCCGCGCCGGCATTCCCAGGGCCGCGCGTGCCACGGCCGCGGCATGCAGTTTGAGACGACGGCGGCGCTGTCCTTCGCACGGCAGCGCCGCTGCCGCAGCCGAGGGTCCCCGCTTCCGCTCCCGTCGCATCGTCACAACCCCGCCGACGGAACAGTTTAGTTCGGGGGGATTTCTCTTGAGGCAGCTGGTTCAGTACAGTTGCTGCCTCTACGTAAGCCGCATTTTCTGCGTAAGTGTATATGTTTATGATTATATTTATACACATGTGTATACATATACTTATATACATCTATGCACATCTATCTATATGTGTATGTGTGTGTCGGGGCTCTCCCGCGCGAAACTTGTCGTCTCGTAAAAGTTTAGATCGATATTGTGTTGAGTGTATATATGGTTTTGTTTCGCCTGGTGCCTGAACTTGTGTTTAGGGTGGATCTGAACTTTTCGATGCGCGTCCGTGCGGGGCGGGCCTGGGGCGCCTTCCAGAGCTCTTGCCGGCGCCGCCAAAGGCCGAAACGCCCCTAGGTTGTCGCCCCGGCACGATTGCGCGAATTTTCGCAATGACATTGGGCGTTGACCGCGTGTCAGCGCGAGCCAACGCAATGTTCAAGCGCCGACGAGCACAGCAGCAGCTCGCCGTCGGAGTGTAATTGCGGAATTGCGCGGCGTTGTCGTTGGCCGACCGTCGAGCAGTTGTCGTTTGCAGTTTATTCGTCGCTCGACGGTCTCATTTGTTTAGTTCCGTACGCGTGGGGCGGGGGGCGTTGTGTAATGTTTTCGTTTGTTGCTTCAACTTGACAAAGATCTGACATACTATACCAAATCAAGCTGGAACGACATGTGATGGAATGACAGTGGTGGACCCGACTGCTTGCGTGCAGGTGTACACCACTCGCTCTCTCACGCAATCGGCCGCATTCCCCCACATCCGCCAGTTTTATTTTCCAAAAACTTCCCGACCGCTTTTCCAGATGTAGTTTTTCGTCCTAGCTCCATGCTTGATTGTCCCGGGTTTCGATAACGGCCGCAAAGGGCCGAGGTCGAGAAAAACAACTTCCAGCGATCGCATCACGTCGTTGGAGATCTGGGCCTCGCGCCCGTCCCGCCCTCAGAACGTTCCTCCAAGCCCCGCCCCCGCCCTAGCGAGCTTTCCGGGCCTGGCAGGGTCAAGGATAAATCCGTTCCACAGCGCCCACGTGCGCTCCAGCCCCGAACGTGTGCCGGAACGCTCTGTCTGACAAGGCCGCGGCGCACGATACATCTTCCAGATGTGGGCCAAACAAATGTTCATATCCACTGCGTTTTGGACTTCCTTGGAAAGGGCGCCACAAGGCCAGGGCGCATTGGATATGGACAAAAACCGCCCCCGCATCCGTATCCTCTGCGCGTTTCGGCTTCTTCGGGAAAGGAGCCCGACACTACAGCACCCTTGTCCGGGTTTCGCCCCGCCCCCGACCTCGCGAGCCCCTCGGGGCCAAGGCCAGGTCAAGGACAAATCCCTTCCGCAGCGCCCAACGACGCACCAAAACGTGTTCCAGAACGCTCTGAGAAGGCCGCGGCGAACGATGCATTTTCCTGAGCCGCTGGACTGCACAGGTCCCTGATGTCACCCTTGTCCGATGTTGCCCTTGCCCTGGCTTCGCGGGGCGGCCCGCGCGCCCTGAGAGGCAACGCGTCCTCGCGCAGCCGCCGCGGCTCGCGAGCGGTGCCGCCGCCCCCCGCCGCCCAGGCGCGAAACGTACCAGCCTTAGACAGGACACGCCGATCGATGGAATGCAGTCAGCCCGCATAGTACGGATGGGCAACCTTCCCGACGGTGTCCTTGCATCCCTGCCTCCTCGGTCCACCTTTGGCCACTTTCGTCGGCCGCCCCCCGCTCGAGAAGCTTCGAAATGGCCTTTTCAAGACCCTTGCATCCTCATCGCGCATCCATATGCTACGGGCCGGCTGAAGTGTTGGACTTCCGAATCTCATTCTAACCTTGGGAAGCAATCAAGGACCACCCTCCTCCGGTGGAGCGATAACACATCTCAGCCCCTGGAAACGCTAGCTTGGCACCCCGGGGGGGACAGGAGGATGAGGAGGAGGCGGAGGAAAAAGACGCGAAGGAGGAGGAGGAGGAAAAGGAGGAGGGGGAGGATGGGGAGACAGAGGAGCAGGAGGAGGAGGAAGAGGAGGAGGAGGAAGAGGAGGAGGAAGAGGAGGAGGAGGAGTTGGAGATGCCAGTCGCGACGTATCTCTGACTGCAGCTCGTAATTTCCTGAGCTGCTCCCCCCCATTTTTGTTCCTTCGGGTGTGCGGGAGGTGGCGGGGAGGACGTGGAGGAGGAGGAGGAGGAGGACGAGGAGGAGGGAGGAGGAGGAGGAGGAGGTCGAGGAAGAGGAGAAGGAGTAGGGCCAGTGTAAACCCAAGAGTCATCAACGACGTTGGAATACACCATCCCTCCAAGCTCCCTCTTCACAGGCCCCTACAAGTGTTCATTTCCACTGAGGTAACTGCCTTGAGGAAGCAAACCGTTTGAAGACCCTGAAGCATGCCAAAACATTGTTCTCCCGATTCCATCGCCACGGGTCGACCTGACTGTTACGTCGTGACGACCCTGAATCGTGCCAGAACGCCGTTCCTGGAACGTCAACAACGCGAATCAACATAATAGTTGCACCTTCATTTTGCCGGATCCTTCCAACACACCATTTCGGGCAATTACGCCGATCATGGGGATCCGCGAAACTCTTGCAATTTTGTTCGAGAGCCACAGTTTGAGAAGGAACCGCCTTGAATCCGTGAAGCTCTTGCCAATTCTTACAAAGAATGTGCGCGGCGCTGAGGCGAGAGCCATATTTTGAAAACGGGTCGCCCTCAGTCCATGAATCTCTTGCAAAGTTTCAAAACGAATGTGCGCGGCGCTCAGGCGACAGCCACAGTTTGGAAAAGAACCGCCCTCAATCCGCGAAGCTCTTGCCAATGTTTATAAGACATGTGCGCGGTGCTAAAGCGAGAGCCACATTTTGAAAACGACCCGCCGCCCTACATCTGCGAAACTGTTGCCAATTCGTAAGCTTCAGAGTCATAAGTGGTGAGGAAGTCTCAGGCGAAACGCCCGGCCCGCCGTAAAAACTTGCCTCGGGGTGCGGCAGGGAGAAGTTTTTGATCAGGAGAAGGAATGGAGGAGTTGATGTCAGTCGCGGGCGGCGGGGATGTATCATTTTGCGGCTTGATGCGGTGCTAAAGATATCGCTATGCTAGATCCGCCCCGCGAATTCTGTGTTTTCGTATCGGTGCCGCCCGAAACAATGTATACTATACCGCCCCTCGGGGCGAGCGAGGGTCCTGGTCGTGAGTCTGGTCTACAACATTCCCTCCCTGGGGCGTGGTGCGTGTACACTGAACGTGGTTCTGGGCGGTCGCATCTGACTGGGGCGGCGGGGGTGTGGTATACAAAATCTTGAGGATCGGCGCTAACGATGACGCAGGGTGGTTCCTTATCGGCTTTCCACGGTTCGTTTAGGCACCTTCCTAATTCAAGAGTTGAAAGGTTTTCTCGTTTCCCTCCTCCTCAGGGGGCGGGCGGGAACCCGATCTACCTCCAACGCCTTCCTATTTCATGTTCCTGCGCATTTCTTCCGCCCGACTTGTATCCCTATCTCTATCCCTGTATCCCTATCTCTATCCCTGTGCTTGGCATCACTTTACATCGGTGCCAGCCTGAAGGACTCCCTCAGTTTCTGAGGGTTCTCCGATCTTTGGGATCGTCGGACGGGGCAAGGACGAGGATTATTCCGTCCCAGGGCGCTCCAGAGCGCTCTCAGAGCGTCCCGGAGCGGTCCGAGCAGGCCGCGGCGCCCGAGATATCTTCCAGAGCCGTCGGATCTCAGAGATTCTCGATTTCTCCTCACCCCGTGGCATCGCTCGGACGTGGGCATTTTATCTCGGCGTGGATCATTGATGAGCATCCCGGATCGCACCCCAGATCACCCTGGGGAAGGAAAACACGCACGAAATCAATATATGCACAGGGAATCGACGTCCCAGCGATGGCAAGACCCGATCTTCTCCCTCGTCCTGGTTTCGTGTGATCGAGGCTGGCTACATTCGGTGGCAACCCGTGGGAGCCTGGTATACCCTGTCAACTCCGTCTTTCGGGGATGGACAGACCTACCCTGACACGTCGATTGAGGAATTGGCCCTTTTCGTTTCGCGAGAGGGCGTCGCGGCCGTCATTTTTGCGGGTCCAGGTCCGTCGGTTCCGGTCCCAGGCCGTTTTCACTAAGGGGAGGTGTGCTAAAGGGAGGTTTGTCCACCGCCGAGTCTCGAGTCTCCAGTCGCAAGACCCGACGAGATGCGGCGGGAGGCTCCCAACGAGTTGCCACCGAAGCTGCCCGCGGCGGCCATGCGGCGCGTGCGGGCGCCCCGCCCGCCCGGCTGCTGCGCGCGGCGCGCCCCCGCCGCGCCCTGGGCGGCCGCCGTGCCGGGCCGCTGCGCACGGCGCGCGGCCGCGGCCGCCGCGTCGGCGGGCCCGAGGACGGCCCGCGGATGGCGCGCGGCTTCCCTCGTCGGGGCTGAAGACATGGGGGCTTGCTAAAGGTACCCCTGGCCCAAGGTGCCCCCAGATGTTCGATCAGTTTCGAAGCCTCTGGGGCCCTCTGGGCCTCGTGGGGGGTGCTCTGGAGGCCGTGGGAGCCTTCCCGGAAATCCTGGGGGCACCTTGGCCCAGGGGCACTTCTAGCAACGCCCGAGAAGATTCGACAGAGAAAGAACGCCACAACCATAAGCTCTCGTGGCGCGCCGCGCGAGATGCCAGAAGCGCAGGTTTGCATATCCGTAAGGGCTTCGCACCCTGCCGCCGGCCCCCTCTCTCGGAGAATGGGCCATGGAAGAGCTAAGTCATGAGGCCTTGGCGCTGTCGTGAAGCAGTATCGAAACTTCATGCGAAGCCGAGTCGCAATCAGCAAAACCAACTGATCACAAGAGGGGTTACCACACCTGGCGATTGGTAAGACGTGTATGGTTTAAGGGCTTGGTTACCACACCTTGCGATTAAAGGGCCGAGGGAGTTCTCGCAGTTTGGGTTACCACGCCTTGCGATGGATGTGCGTGATGGGTTCGAATTTCAGAAATGTGGAAATCCCCTGTGTTTTTGGACCCTGACCCCGCGGATCTGCGTGAGGGGTGGCACCGAATTTCAGAAATGTGGCAAATCCCTGTGTTTTTGGACCCTGACACCGCGGATCTGCGTGAGGGGTGGCACCGAATTTCAGAAATGTGGCAAATCCCCTGTGTTTTTGGACCCCGACCCCGCGGATCTGCGTGAGGGGTGGCACCGAATTTCAGAAATGTAGCAAATCCCCTGTGCTTTTGGACCCTGACCCCGCGGATCTGCGTGAGGGGTGGCACCGAATTTCAGAAATGTGGCAAATCCCATGTGTTTTTGGACCCTGACCCCGCGGATCTGCGTGAGGGGTGGCACCGAATTTCAGAAATGTGGCAAATCCCATGTGTTTTTGGACCCTGACCCCGCGGATCTGCGTGAGGGGTGGCACCGAATTTCAGAAATGTGAATCCGCAATTTCAGAAATGTGGCAAATCCCTTGTGTTTTTGGACCCTGACCCCGCGGATCTGCGTGAGGGGTGGCACCGAATTTCAGAAATGTGGCAAATCCCATGTGTTTTTGGACCCTGACCCCGCGGATCTGCGTGAGGGGTGGCACCGAATTTCAGAAATGTGGCAAATCCCTTGTGTTTTTGGACCCTGACCCCGCGGATCTGCGTGAGGGGTGTCGATTTCGAGCCCCCCCAGCAATTCAGACAACGCGCCCAGGTGAGGCTAAAAATCCTGTTTGGGCTTCCCCCCCCCTCGCGCGGTCAATCAACTAGTTACAGTAACCAGCAAGAAGTCAACTAGTTACAGTAACCAGCAAGAAGCAGAACTGTAACACTGGAAACTACAACCTACGACTGGTACAGGAAACTGCGAATCACGTGCCTACAGCCTGGTGGCCCCACAAGGGGGCCGGCGGATTTCTTGTCCCTCATCTCCAGGCCAGTCAGAGGAGCGCCGGATCCTGCAGGATGGATCGACCAGCGTCAGAAGATCCATCAGTTCGGCGGGCCGCCCACGTCGCCGATGGGCGCCCACGGTGTTCAGTTCGTCGGCGCTGTCGCTTCCGCTGCGGGTCGTCTTCGCCTTCGTCCCTGGCCGCCGCCGCCGCCTTTCGCCGTCGCCGCCGGGGCCGCCGCCGCCGCCGGGGCAGCGGCCGGGCCGCCACACTTACGACGACGGCGGCGTCGACCACCGCGGACACGGCGGCGGCGGCCGCTGACAAGGTAATCGTCGGCATTGTCGTCGCGCGCCCTCGTTGTTGGCCGCGATGACGATACTACCAGCCTGAAACATATTCTCATGCCTGTGATTGGCATCCTCTTATCTCGACGTCGATCTTTGGGGATCTCTTGGTTTCTGAGGGCGCATTCCTAAGATTGGCAATGCCTTTACATCAGATTGTCGTTGCCTTTTGGGCCTGTCACTCGCAGGGGTAATTGGGGAGATGCTCGAGGCTGGTCAGATGACGTCGAGGCGGTCGGCGGCGTCGTCGTCACCGCGCGCGCTCTCGTTGCCGGCCCCGTGGCGGCGGCCAGGGTGCAGGGCTCATTTCGACTTCTCCGATTCGATTCGATTAGATTTCAATGGCTTCCGATTCCGATTCGATTCGATTGGGGATTCCGATTTGGGCTCCGATGTTTCCTTGGAGGTCTGCGAGCCTGCCGATTTCTGTCGATTCGACTTCTCCCGACTCGGCTGCCGATTTCTGCCGGTGCGACCCCTCTCGAGCGCCGATCCGACCTGTCGATCCGATCTTGGGGTCTCCTGCCGCGGCGGCGGCCAGGGTGCGCGTCTCGGTGGTCACCTGCGGCGGGGGCGAGCTCGCCGCCCTGGACGCCGAGGCGTCGTGGCGCTTGGGCGACGTGCTCGCCGCGCTGCCGGCACGCGGCGGCGAGCCCGACGGCAGGCGTCATCGGTGGGTCCCGGCGCGGTGGAGGATTGGTCAGGGGCAACGTTGGGCGGAGGAGGAGGAGGAGGAGGAGGAGGAGGAGGAGGAGGAGGAGGAGGAGGAGGAGAGGAGGAGGAGGAGGAGGAGGAGGAGGAGGAGGAGGGGGAGAGGAGGAGCAGGAGGAGGAGGAGGGGGGGAGGAGGAGGAGGAGAAGGAGGAGGAGAGGAGGAGAGGAGGAGGAGGAGGGAGGAGGAGGAGGAGGAGGAGGAGGAGGAGGAGGAGGAGGAGGAGGAGGAGGAGTTGAGAGAACGTTGCTGGGAGAAGGGCCAACGCCTGTCGGAGGAGGTGGTGCCACCGTTGGTGGAAGGAGGACCGTCGTTGGCTATCGCGGGGGGGCCCTGGTCGCCGAGGCGGGACGCAGCTCAGAGAGCCGCCGCGGCTGATCAGAGGTCCGAATCATCTCGACGAACAGATGTGGCATAAACACCGTTTTCGGGGGTGCGCGCGGAGTTCTCGGATCGGAGATGGACTCGGGGGGTTTGGGGATGTTTCCGTCGGGGTGGCTGGAGGTTTTCTCACGTTTTCGTAGGTTCCTGGAGCTTTCCCTGCATCTAGATGCGATTCAGCAGTTGTGCCTCTCCCAGAAGCATCCAGAGGTATGCAGATCTTCCCGATCGACCGCCAGAAATTTGACTTAGGGGATACCATCGGTCGCTCTGACATGGGAGGCGACAACTGGGGGGCCCAAGACAGGTGCACCTTTCAAGCACCTCAGGGAGCCGAAAGGGGCCCTCCGGTGCCCAAAAGTGACACGCAGGGTACACGTTCCTTCGCCCCCCCCTTCTGTTGATCTCCGCCCCACGGCGGGCGCCGTTTGGCTCTGTGCGGCCGAGGTGCTCAGGAGCAGCGCAAGGGGCGGCAGGCTCCGTCTCCAGACCTGGCTGCCCAGGCAAAGGTATGGACGGTTTGGGCCTGGCGTTTTCGCATAAGGATTTTGAGAGGGCCTGGCACGTGAGCAGCACCGTGCAGGTAGCATAACGCAGCTTGCGACCGCAGTCTTCCCCCAACAGCTGAAAGCAGCTCTTGACGAGCGGCCTGGTGCCTCGAACCCTAGAGCACTGATAGCCATGTGGCGATCTTCGCAACTCTCAGTTCTCAGTTCGGCTCGTCCCACAGTCGATCGAGGGCGTGCATCGACTCCCAACCGCCCATTCATCGGCGACGTGGGCCCGACAGCCCACCCATCCACCCAGGAACGTTGGAGTTTTGTGACGTCGAGGATCTGCGTCCGATTAGTCGGCGACGTGATGCTGACTGCAGCTCGTGTTTTCCTGAGTTGGTTCCCCCCCCCAACCCGACACGGGAACGCTGGGGTTCGTAACGTCGAGGATCTACGTCCGATCTATCGGCAAGTCAGCGCTGATTGCAGCTCGTAGTTTCCTGAGCTGGTTCCCCCCCTATCTTTTCCCTTCAGGTGTGCGGGAGGTGGAGGGGGAGGACGAGGAGGAGGAAGAGGAGGAGGAGGAGGACAAGCAGGATGAGGACGAGGAGGACGAGGAGGAGGGCGAGGAGGAGGAGGAGGAGAAGGAGGAGGAGGAGCAGGAGGAGGAGGAGGAGGAGGGGGAGGGGGAGGGGGAGGGGGAGGGCAAGCTAGGTGCCCTCGCGTCATATCTAACGTCGTACCCCTCCCTCCCATCCCTTACCATGGCGTAGATCTCCTCTCGATTCGCACAGTCGGATGTCCTAGCATGGCCTATCATTACATGGCACAGCATGGTGATGAAGATCAACGCGTCGCATGACATCGCATGGCGTGGCGACGCCCCAAAAGGGGGGGGGTCTTCTGCGGCCCACGAAATCAACGAATCGACACCGACTGTGTAATCACTTCCTGGACGCACCGACATCTACGTTTGGCTTTGCCATCGCATCGCATCCTGAACCAACTGGCATTCCCAGTATCCGTACTGCGCACCTCCGCCGCCTGGCCCTGGCGCAGCAACCGCCGCCTATTCCGCCAGCGGGGCCGGCCGCGCCACTCGCTCCGGGTGTGACCCGTCCCTCTGAGCGGTCCTCGCTCCCTCTCTCCTCCTTTGGCCGGCCTTCCTGTCTCCTCCCATGTTCTTGCATTCTGGCACAATTCGCTTCAACGGTACCCCCGCTGTGATTGCTCCTCCGCCAACGCAGGTGGTCTGGCGAACCGCCGACGCAAAAAGTCATGCTCTAGATTTGGGGGCCGATTTGGAAGGACCGAAACCCATGGCGTGGCATGGCGCTGAAAATAATGACGCCAGTGCATTCGGAACTAGCGGAAGCGCGGAAATGAGGCCAGCGTTGCGGCGGGAGTACGATTCGTAACGAGCGGAAGCTCGGAACATTGGCCAGCGATGTAGCAGGAGCGCGATTCTGAACAAGCGGAAGCCCGAAATAAGCCAACGTTGCAGCGGGAGGAACATGTTGAAGACAAACCCAACCGAAAGCCCAACTCCCGTGAGTCCTGTGTGTTTTTTGTTCAGCTAAAAAATACGCGGAGGGGGTTGGACAGAGGAGGACGGAAACGAGGAGGGGAGACGCAGGAGGAAGAGGAGGAGGTGGTGGTGGAGGGGGAGGAGGTGGAAGAGGAAGAGGAGGAGGAGGAAGAAGAGGAGGCGGGGGAGGAAAAGGAGGAGGAGGAGGAAGAGCAGGGAGAGGAGGGGGACGAGGAGGAGGAGGAGAAAGAGGAGAAAGAGGAGGAGGAGGCGGAGGACCAGTGTAAACCCAAGGTCGTCAACGATGTTGGAAGAAACCTTCCCTCCAAGCTTCCTCATCACACGCCCCTACAACGGTTCAGTGCCATTCGGGGCATTTCTTCGTTGGAAGACAACCGTTTGAAGGCCCTGGAGCATTCAAAAACACATTGTTTTCTGGATACCAACGCCATGGATCAACATGACTGTTGCATGTTGGCGATCCGGAATCGTGCCAAAACGTCATGTTTGGGGCTCCGACACAGCGAATCAACGTAACAGTTGCGCCCGCGTAATCTTCAACTTCTCCAAAACACCAGTATTGGTACGCCGATCGTGGACACCCGTGAAACTTTCATAGATTTTGCGAACGAATCTGCTCGGCGCTGGGGCGAGTCACGTTTTGAAAACGACCCGCCCTTAACCCGTGAAGCTCTTGCAGTCTTTCTATCAAAACGAATGTGCTCCGAGCTCAGGCGATAACCACATTTTGATAACGACCCGCCCTCAACCCAGGAACCCCCTGCATTTTTGAATGTGTGAAGTAAGAGAATGCGTATACGCCGCGCTAGAGGCGAGAACCACATTTTGAAAACGACCCGCCATCAACCCGTGGAATTAATTATTGCAAAGGTCTAAAACGAATGCGCACCGCGCTCAGGCGAGAGCCACATTTTGAAAACGACTAGCCCTCCTAGCCTTCAACCCGTGAAGCATCTATTGTAAAATAATGCGAGAGCCACGTTTTGAAAACGACCGCACTCAATCCGCGAAGCTCTTGCACATGTGTAAAACGAATACGTTCCGCGCAAAGGCGAGAGCCACATGTTGAAAACCACCCGCCCTCCATCTGCGAAGCTGTTGCCAATTCCTCTGCTTCAGGATGCTCAAGGGTGAGGAAGTCTCAAGCGAAACGCCCGGCCCGCCCTAAAATCTGGCCTCGGGGTGCGGCAGGGGGAAATTATTTATAAGGAAGCGGCAAGGAGGAGGAGGAGGAGGAGGAGGAGGAGGAGGAGGACGAGGAGGAGGATGAGGACGAGGAGGACGAGGGGGACGAGGAGGACGAGGAGGACGAGGACGAGGACGAGGACAAGGAGGACGATGAGGACGAGGAGGACGAGGAGGGAGGAGGAGGAGGAGGAGGAGGAAGAAAATGATAAGGAAGACGAGGAGGAGAAGGGGGAGGGGGAAGAGGAGGAGGAGGAGGAGGAAAAGGAGGAGGAGAAGGGATCTTCTGCGTTTGCGGCCTTTCGAAATCGCCTCGTCGCCGCGGCTGGATCTCCGCCTCGAGATTCTGCCTGGAGCGCACCCCAGGATTAGTTTTGGGGCAAATTTGTTGGACCTCCTGAAAGGCCAGCAAGATCGCCACGAAAACCAGGAATTCGGAGGACCAAGATCAGCACGAACAAAATGGGTACAGAAAAAGTTGGTACGATGCCCAACAGCAGTTCCTGCTCATTTTGAACAGGACTCGCTGTCCGCGCCGCCGCAGCCTGTGTCCGTTTGAGACAAACGACAGCCTGCCCAACAGCGGCCGCTGTTGGATGTTGGGCATTGTGCCCATTTCTTCCGTACCAATTTCAGGCGTCCAAACAAGAAAATAGGGGGCGAGAGTAAGCATGGGGACTGAGGCCGTCAACAGCTCCTGCCGATTTGGGGAAGGTCTTGTTGTCGGTCTCGCCGCGGGCGTGTTCAGTTCAGACAACAGGCGCCTGGCCAACAGCGGCCAGTGCCGGTTTTGGCAATTTTGGCTGTCGCTATTGTGCTTGTTCCATTTCGGGCGTGCCAAGTGGTTGACGTCAAAGTCAAAGCGAGCATCGACGTCAGCGTCGCCGTCGTCTTCGACAGCGTGCTCGTCAGCGTCAGCGTCGTCATCGTCAGCGGCGCCGTCAGCGTCGATATCGACGGCAACGTCAACGTCAAGGTCAAAGTCGGTGGCAGCATCGTCGTTGACCTCCTCAGCCTCGTCGACGTGGTCGTGTTGACGACGTCAACGTCAGCGTCAGCGTCAGCCATGCCGTCGACGGCGTCGTTGCCAGCGTGGCCGCTGTCCACGCCGTCGTCTGCGTCGCCAGCGTCGCCGCTGCCAGGCCGAGCGGAGAGACGGGTGGCGCAGGCACGAGGCGCTGGGGGCCAGTCCGGGACAACGTCACGGTTTTCTAGGCTTTGGGATTAAGTCGGGCATGCCCCTCGACAGGAGGAATATTCCAATATAGGGAAAAGATAGTATGGGGACGATTTGTTCACTAGTTTGATCATTCTTGGTTTTTGTTTATGCATTTTTCATTTCCTCCAAATTCCGCCTGTAGGAGGACATGCCTACCTCATTCTAGGCTCTTTGGCTTGGGGGGTACGTTTTCGGTGGATCGGACTCAGGTTTGCGGTTTTCTGGCGTGTTCGTAGGTTTTCGGCGGTTTTCTGGCCTCGGGGTGCTTTCCAATGGCTGTGCCTCGCCGAGAGCGTTCCGGGGCTGCCCGTGCCGTCCCGAAAGGCCTCCAACACCAGACGACGAGGATCATCGGAGGGGATGGGGCCCGAATCTTCTACTCATCGCCAGGACGGGGCCCGATATCCCAAGCCCGCCCAGGAGCGTGCGGATTCGCTATCGGCTAGGGGAGCCATATCGCCGATCTGTCGGCGGTGTATCGCTGATGCCAGGTCGATGTTTCTCCCCCGTAGGCTTCGAGTAGGGGATCGACTAGAAAATTGATTTGCCCAAAATTGATTATCCTACCGAACCTGACACATTCGCGTAGAAGAACGATCCGTAGGTCTACGAAGCCATCGACGCATTTCTCGTAGGCTCGACGAACGAACAAAAAACTCTGGGGTCGATCAGTTCTGTAGTCCACCCCCTGCTCGAAAGCTGGTTCCCCCCACCTCTTGTTGCCTCTCGACCTCGAGCCACCTCGAGCCTGGAGCGAGCGGCGCCAGACGTCCGACCATCCGGCGTGGTCCTGGATCCGTCGGCTACAGTCGAAGCGTTGCCATAAGGAACGAGGGTAGTTTTCCTCGGGGGTGGACAGACCTCCTACCCTGACACGTCGATTGAGGAATTGGCCGTTTTCGGTTCGCGAGAGGGCGTCGCGGCCGTCATTTTTGCGGGTCCGGGTCCGTCGCTGTCGGTCCCAGGCCGATTTCACTAAGGTGAGGTCTACTGAAGGGAGGTTTGTCCACCGCCGATTTCCATTATTTAAACGTGAATGTCCCACAGAGAACCGAAGGCAAACCTAAGACAACCTGTAAAACAAATGCGGAACACTGAGCCCCTCCCCATTCTTCAGCGGCCCGGCTGCACACGTGACTTCGAATTTCGAATTGAAAGGGAGGGGGTCAAGACCCTTTCTGACGATAACATTCAGATTCTCTCCCCAGACCTGCTATGAAAGGGCGGCCTTTTGTCCCGACCCCCCGGAACCTCCAAGACAAGCAGACCCCCCACCAACTCGGACTGCCCCTCTTGATTGTGAAATCCGGAGTCGCGCGTGAGCCTTCGCCACAGCGACCTTTTGGTGCTCGGCGTTCGGGGGTCGCGGCGGGGCCACATGCCGCAACCGTCACGTCGCCTGCCACGATCGGCAAGCCGAGCACCCAGGGCCATTCCCTGCCCACGGGCGCGCCTCTTGCGAGCAGCAGGGCCCGTCTGTGGTGGCCCGAACGTCCGAGATCGGCCCCACGGGCCTCAACCGAAGGAAGGCAGCGCCACTTAGATCACCGCGGGGGCTGCTGAAGGGGTTCGTGGTGTCCGAGTGGATGCCAAGTCAGAGGGAGGGGTGCGTGGCTGAATCAGGAGTTCGCGGTGAAGACTGTTGTTGTGATTGTTGATGGTGTTGTGGCTGTGGCTGTGGCTGTGGTTGTGTTTATGGTTGTTGTTGTGGTTGTTGCTGTTGGTGATGATGGTACTGTTGTTGTTGTTGTTGGTGGTGGTGGTGGTGTTGGTTCTGATGTTGGTGTTGGCCTTGTTGTTCAATTGTTTGTTGCTTGTTGTTTGTTTTCATCGTTCCACCCACGACCCGGCCCGCCACCCACCCGCGACCCAGCCTCGACCCACCCTCGATCCATTTCGCGACCCACCCCGACCCACCCGCGACCTACCCACTTCCTTTGACGAAATATTCGGCGCATGCGGCGGGCTCGTTACATATTATGTTTAAGCATCGGAGCCTGCGGCGGGTTCTTCAGCCTCGCAGACTTCCGACGACCCCACCGCTCCCTCACTCTTATCCGCAACTGCGGGGTTCTACAGTTCGTTTACCCATCGGTAGTTGAATGTAGATATGTTTGGATTCCCAGATTCCAGTATACTTCAGGCGCCTTCCTACTTCGATGATCGAGTGGCTTCACCCTTTCCGTCCTCTTTAAGGGGTGGGCGGACACCCAATATTTTTCCAACGCCTTCCTACTTCATGTTTTGATTCCTACTTCTTCCGACCGATGGGTATATCTGGCCAAACCTAGCTTATGAGTTTGTTACAAGGGTCATCAGCGGTTTTGGTGGCCAAGCAACTGGGCTAAGTGGGCGGGGCTTACTTGGCAGAGTTATACAACCCTTTCAGGCCATTCCGGGCATTTGTACCCCACGTGCCAGTTACAGGTTTGGCCAGATGGAGCCCACCTCAGCATCCACTTGTGACCCCTGATCCCCTTCGCATTCAGTCGGGCATCTTCCTCTACAGGAGGAACATTGCAAAATAGTTGAAGGATAGTCTGGTGACGATGTTTCGTGCTCATTTTGACCATTTGTATTTCTGTTGGCTCTTTTGAATGTTTCTTTCAAAATTCGCCTGTAGGATGACATGCCCGGCCTAACCTTAGCAGCCCCCGCGCCGACCAAAGAAAGACCGAAAACAGGTGGCGCGCTCCAGAAGGGGCCTCGCCTTCGAGGGCTTGAAGGAGCTTGCCACACCTTCCAACGGACGGCGGCGGAGGCCGGCGGACGTAAAAGATTACGTCCCCGAGTCAGCGAGCGAAGAGCGGTATAGAATAAACTTTCCGCCGTCGGGGACACCTGCCCCAGGGCGGCTGGAAAGTTTATACCCCTACGGTGCCACCGTAAGGGTATAAACTTTCCAGCCGCCCTGGGACAGGAGCCCCCGACAGCGAAAAAGTGTATTTTATACCGCTCTTCGCTCGCTGAACGAGTGATGCCACGTGTTCGTTTGGGTTCAGGATTTCCAGAATCGGCCAGATGCCGGCCGGAGATTTGGGCGCCGCGTCCTTTGAGCTCGGCATCGCTCGGACGTGTGCATTTTTTTCCGGCGAGGACCATTGAGGAGCATCCGAGATCATGAAACAGAAAAAGCACGCACGAAACCGAAACATGCGCGGGTGATTGGACGTCCGAGCGATGGCAAGGGAGGCGGGTGTTCTTCGGCGACGTGGAGCTGTGCGGCAGCGCCACGCTTGCCGAGGTCGGCGCTGTGAGCGGCAGCCGGTTAACCCTGGTGGTGACCGCGGCGCTGCGCGTGGTGACCGCGTGCGGCGATTGGTCGGCCCGGATCCACTCCGCGGGTTCAGGACGCAAGGCCTCGAACGAATGCTGGAGGCAATGTGCGGAGGGAGACGGGCTCTCTCAGAGGAGGAGGAGGTACTGATACCGCCACCCTCTCGGGCCGAACGAAAGGGGGGGATAGGGAAAGGGGGGATTACGAAATCTGCTGCATGCAGCTGGCTTCGGCCCCGCCGCCGGGCCCATCCTTCGATACTTGGGCGCCTCCCGGCGCCGGGAGGCGCCGGGAAAATGAGCTACGTGGGCTGATTCTCAAACCCCCCCTTTGCTATCCCCCCCTTTCGCCCGGGCCGACCCTCGCCCCGCTCTCACCTTTCTCGGCCTCCTGGGACGCCCTCGTCGGCACCGCCGGATTCGCCTCGAAATCTTGGTCAGATCGCACCCCTGGAGAGGTCCTAGGAGCAGCGGTCGGTTCCCTTTGGGTTTCCCCAGGCTCAGGAGTTTTCGCAGTTTTTTGTCGGGTTGGCCAGGGGTTGTCGGTCGTTTTCGTGGGTCCCTGGAAGTGCTCTTGCCTCGGGATGCGTTTCTGGGGGTTGTCCGCGGGGTCAGGACGCAAGTCCTCAAGATGATCTGGGGCAACGTCAGGGGAATAGGCTCAGGTGATCTCTGATTGTTTCCTGGGGCTGGCCCTGGCGGGGTTGGGATGATTGTTTTCGTCGGTTCCTGCATGCTTTTACGCTTTGCAGCCTCGAGATGCGCTTCGGCAGCTGCGCCTCGCCGAGAGGCGTGCGGGGGGCTCCGGTTCGTCCCGAACGGCCGCCGGAGAGCCGAGACGTGACCCGAAAGCCAGACAATTAGGATCATTCTGGGGATTTGTTCAGGGGACTGGTTCAGTCTGCGGACGCGTTTCGCCATGTAGATCTCGAGGGGCCCTCACTGGGCCCTGGACCGGTCACATAACGATTCACGATGAAGTTCGCGCTTGAACGCCTTCGCGGGCGGGGTTTCTTTCTCAGGCCCTGGGACCTGCAGATGACATCCCACTGCGCGAACCATCCATTCGAAAGGTGGGTTCGAGAGCCTCGGCGGAAGGTCCAGGAGGGGAGACCGTTGAAGATTGAGAGGCTCGCGCAACGGCAGAGACCAGTCCGAGGCGAGGAAGGATGAATGATCAGCCACCACCTGCGGGATCGATCCTCGAGGACCACGGCAGGCGGTGGATGTGGACATCTTCGGGCCCGAGGGGGGGGCAAATCCGTGTCCATCCACAGCGCCCGCCGAGGTACCTGGCGATGAGCACCCAGGCGACGGTTATGGATGATTCCCTGCCTCGACGAACGAACAACAAACAAACACACACACACACACACACACGCACCCAGATTCATAGGGGCGACGATGATGGCCATGGGTGCGTGTTGTCAGATGGGGGTCCCCGCTCGAATGGGAGCCTCCCTTGGGGTCCAGCAGCCCGCACCCATACCCATGGCCAGTCCTCCGTCCGACCTCCCTGTGGGTATCTGTGTGGTGTGTGTGCGCGTGTGTGCGTGAGAGAGAGAGAGAGAGAGAGTATGTGTGTGTTTGTGTGTGTGTGATGTTGCGTGTGCGCATGTGTGTGAGCGAGAGAGAGTGTGTGTGTGTGTGTGCGTGTGTGTGTGTTTTGCGTGTTTTTGCGTGTGTGTGTGCGTGTGTGAGAGAGAGAGTGTGTGTGTGTGTGTGTCGTTCGTTCGTGACCCCCGGGCCCGCGCGCACCACCGAAAGCGACTCCCCGTCCGCGAGCGGGGTGCGACGACGTGGCCGGCGCCCGGTGCTGCCCACACCTCTCGACCGAGTTGTGAGTGGAGGGCAGCCCCGGGGCGATGACGATGTTGTTGATGATGTTGTTGATGCTGTTGATGCTGTTGATGATGTTGATGTTGATGTTGATGTTGATGTTGATGTTGATGTTGATGATGTGTGATGTTGTTGATGTTGTTGACGATGTTGATGATGTTTGATGATGATGCTGCTGATGTTTGATGGTGGTGATAATGATGTTGAACATGATGATGTGTGATGTTTGATGATGATGACGTTTGATGACGATGCTGTTGATGTTGGTGGCCAACATTAACAACATCATCAAACATCATCAAACATCATCATCATCATCATCATCATCATCATCATCATCTTCATCATCAACATATATTATCATCATCATCATCATCATCATCATCATCATCATCATCATCATCATCATCATCATCATCATCATCGGCTCGCCAGGGCAGTGCCTGCGCAAGCTGGACGGCCACCGGGGGCGCGTGCGCTGCGCCGTGTTCTCGCCGGGCGGGCGGGAGGTGCTGACCGCATCCGACGACGGCACGGCGAAGATCTGGGCCGCAGGCTCACCCTCGGGGGAGGGAGAGGACAAGTACCCCCCGCCGTCGGATGCAACTTCCTGGCATCGTTCGGACGTGTGCATTTTTTCTCGGCGAGGACCATCGAGGAGCATCCTTCATCATTTGGCGACAAACCACGCACGAAACCGAAAGAAGCACAGGGAATGGACGTCCGAGCGATGGCCAGACTTCTGGGAGGTCCAATTCTGACGCTGCCCTGGTCCGAACTCTGGCTCAATTCGGCTTCTTCCTGTCCAAGCCCGCGTCATCCCGCGTAGTCCGCGGCCTCATCTGGCCCAGCAGCCCCCTCATGGGGCGCTATTTTCCTTCAGCCTTCCCACGAAGACCTCCCAGTAGCTGCCTCCTGCCCTCCACTCCTCGTTTTTTTTATTTCGCCCTTCCGACGAAGACCTCCCAGTAGTTGCCTCCTACCCGGTACTACCCTCCACTCCTCGCTCCTCCATTCCTGCACCTCCGAGGGGAGCCAGGCCGAGGCGCCTCCAGAGGAGGGGCGCCGGCACTCGCGTCCTGTCCCCGGCCTTTCCCGCTTGCCAGTGCGTGAGTTCGACTAGGAGATCGACTACAGAATCGATGTACCCCAGAAGTGGAATCCTCGCCGAATCGACGAACAGGATGCAGAATATTCGTAGCTCTACGAGAATTCGACGTACTTTTCTCGTATATTCGACGAGGAGGTCAATTTCGGGGCAAATCGATTGCCTAGCCGCTCTCCTCCTCGATGATTGCTTCCATAGACGGGCACGCACCAAGCAGCTACAGAAGAAGATGCCGATACCGCTGCTCGTCGTGGAAAACCCTCGTGGCCGCGGCTGCATGCTCCTCGAAATTCCGGTCGCAACGCTTCCCGGGAGGGGTCGAGGGAGTAGTAGCAGTTCGGGCGTTGCGTAATGAGGAGGCGATAGACGGGTGGGCGAAGAAACATGCACCCTGCGTGCCCGAAAGGGCCCCCTGGGGCCCAAAAGGGGCACGAAAGGTGCACGCTTCTCCTTCCCCTACTTATCGCCCACCCCATTAAGCAACGCCCGAGCGGTATCGGAATCGTCTTGCTGCCTCACCATCCCTGACACCTGGCGCCGCGAGCAAGCCAGGCATCCCGAGAGGACAACAAGACACGGCCAGGGCCCTCGGCCCCCGCCGCGTCGTGCGGGGTCCCTCGTCGAGTTCGATCGATCCGCGGGCATTTCCCGGAGGCTCGAGGCTCTAGGCTTCCCAGGTGGGGTCCGAGCGGGTGGGGTCGCAGGATCGCGCCGCATCGCCGATGCATCGGCGATGCGCCTCGATGATGAGCCAGATGCTCTCCATCTGGACGTCACCGATGCATTGCCGACGTCGACGATACATCGCCGATGCATCGGCGATGTATCGGCGATGCGGCGTGATCCTCCGACCCCTTCCAGGAGGCCTCCAGAGGCGGAGCCCTGCAGGCCCCGTCGTGGTCGTTTCCGCAGCGCCCAGGCGTAGTTAGGTCAGGGGTAACGCTAGGCGAGGAGGAGGAGGAGGAGGAGGAGGAGGAGGAGGAGGAGGACAAGCATGTGGAGGACAGGAGGACAAGCATGTAGAGAGGGGTGGGGTCACCACTCCTGGGGCCCCCCCGAGGACTGCCCCCCTTCAGGACTCCCCCGCGGCCTCCCTCGGGCCCACACCCCCCGTGGGCCCCGCCCTCGTGGAGAGACGGAGGGTCGCGACCCCTTGGACCTCTCATGGGGCATCGCCCCTAAATTGCCAACTCATTCATCGAGGATGATCGGGGGTGGACAGAACCCCCAACAGTGACACGTCGATTAGTGAATTGTCCGTTTTCGGTTCTCGAGAGGGCGCCGTGGCCGTTATTTTCCAGGCTTGCGCCCGCTAGGTTTGGGCCTCAGGTAGTTTACACTAAATCACGTTTAACTAAAGGGGGGTCTGTCCATCCCCGATAAATCGCCAATTCATTCATCGAGGATGAAAGACCCCCTAACCCTCATGGCACAGTGAAGACGTGGCCTCGCTGAGGTCTCCGTCTTGCATTCGGGATCATACATGTGGTCGGTTTGGTTTGATATGTCTGCAAAATGAGCCCCCGCTGACCCTAATGTTTCTGGCATCCTAACTTAGGCCGCCTCCCGAAGGGATGGGGGTCCTTTTATTGCTAATCACTCATGGTCGATACGGTCCCGATGGCCCACCCCGTCCACGAAGGCGGGGATTCGCTATCGGGTGCCCATCGGCGGTGTATCATGTATCGCCGATTCCAGGCCGGTGCTTTCTCCCCTGTACCAGTCTCCCCCCCCCTCTGTTCCCTTTTGTCTCCTCCCAGCAATTTCGACTCCACCGGGGTCGAAATTGCTAATCGCATTGCCGCTGGTTGGCGAAAGTTCTGGTCCATGAAGAAGCTGATTCTCAATAGTTCGTTTTCGGTCAAGAAGAGGCTGCGCCTTTTTGATAGCACAGTCGCCGAGTGCATGTTGTGGTGCTCGGAATTTTTGGACACCAAGAGCTGCAGAATTGAAAACGCTGCGAGTCACGCAAGACAAATATGCTGAGGCGCATCGTCGGGTTTGCGCGGCATGGCGACGAGCCGTGGGTCGAGTGTGTGCAGAGAGCAACTTGCAGAGCCCGGCGTCTTGCTCGCGACTGCGCAGTAAAAGAACGGGCCCGGAGCACTTCAAAAAGACATGGCGCTGGGCAGGCGAAACGGCAACACAGGACAAACGAGAATGGATGTGGAAAGTTACGGACTGGCGCGGCGCCCAGCAGTGGCAGGGCGCTGCCAACGAGCTCGGAACACTGCGTCTCCGGAGGCCGTTTTCGCGAAGGTGGACGCCGTTCGAAGATTGTAACCAGAAATTTTGCACCGACTATGGCTCCGGCGAGGGGCGTGCGTTGGCAGCCGGTGAGCATTGGCACCAACACCAGCAGGATTTGGTCGGTTGGGCTGCGGAGGCCAAGTTCGACGACTGAGTACACCCCCCGGGTCCTGCCCTTAGCGGGCCAGCTTTGCTGTAAGGCCTTGCTCGTCTTGCTCCTGCTCCGTGTGGGCACGGACTTTCGGAGGTCGGCGCGGATTTCTTAGATCGGCAGTGGGCCCTCCTCCTGGGTGCGCGGAGCGCACAAGGGGCGGCGCTGGAGGCACCGCCGATCCAAGACATTGGGCGTCGCGTAATGGGGGCTGACAGATGGAGGGGCAGCAAGGTCTGCAGAAAAGGAGCCCTGTAGGGCCCCAGAGGTGGCCTCTGGGGTCAGAGAAATGCACATTTCTTCTTCCCCTCCATTTATTGTCAGACTCGTCTCTCGAGAGATCGTCGATGAGATGGGTTGGCCCCGGGAGGTACCGGGCGGGCTCACTCGTTGTTCCACAACGTTCTGTAACAAAAAGCGTTTCAGATCGCTCCGGAACGGCCGCGGCGCCCGATGAATTGTCCAGAGCAGCCGGATCCCAGAGATTCCCGAGGTAGTCTTGGTGTTGGCTCCGTCTCGGTGTTGGCTCCGTCTCAGGGTGAAGAACATTGTTCCCCCTGTTGTGGTTGATCGGCAGGATCTGGGGAGTGCCTCCAGACGATGGAGGGTCACGACGGCGAGGTGGTGTCGGCCGTGTTCTCGGCGGACGGCCGCGAGGTGCTCACCGCGTCGCGGGATGGCACGGCAAAGATGTGGTCCGTGGGGTCCGGTGATTTGGGCCGCCTAAGTGCAGATCTCCGACGATATGATATGGTGTTGCTCACCCATGAGTGATTCGAGTCTTTCGATTTCGGCCCAGTCCTCCACCGCATTGAACAAACACAAGACGGAAGTCTCGTTATGCTCGGCCTCTGGGGGATTCGCTGGCCCCAGGACCGTCAAACAACCATTCGGAAGGGATCGACACATTCAGGAACATGAAGCCAGCGAATATGTGGGGGTCGTTTCTGGGGCCCCAGGATAATCAAAAGCGGATTTGGAGCGAAGAACCAGCCCTGGGGAGGCGATTGGGGTTTTTGGAGCGCCGCGGACGGATCGAATCAGATCAGGGAGCTGAACCAGAGTGCAGCCAAGGCGTTGACACGAGGGCTATCAAGAGCTGCTGTTCCATAGGATCTTCGATGATTTGTCTTGGGGCCAGCGCTAAGGGGGGGGATTGGCGCAGTGGGGGGATGCATCGAGCCCCAATCGCTTATTGATCGCCCATAGCCAGATAGCCAACCCCTCCCGGGACTGTGCGGAGTTACTACCGGTGGCCGCAGTCGCCGTATCGGCGATGAATCGCCGATTCCAGCTCAACGTTTCCCCCCTGAGGTAGTCCCCGTCCTACCGCGCCCTCAGCGAAAGCCCATTTGGGACCACAGAGTGGCTTTGCTCGTTTGGCTTGACTGTGCGGTAGGTTCGCGCCGCGGGCAGTTGAACACGTCGCCAGTGGCCCAGGATTGGCCGATGTCGAACGACGTGGTGCCATCGGGAAGCAGCGGTCCGTCCAAGCTAGGCGATGCACGCCGTGCCAGAAACACCGGCGCCAGCATCGTCGCGACACGAGCTGGCTGCAGATGTGGTTGGAGGATCGCGCCGCTTCGCATGCATCGGCGATGCGGCGCGATCCCTCGTCCTCACCTGCTCTGGCACCACTGGTCGAGGGAGGACACAACGACAAACAGAAACACGAACTTTGCATCGGCACTGGCCCCCCACCCCTGGCGCGCAGAGCGCGCCAGGGGGAGGTGCCAGGGGCACCAGCATGGGGGCACGGCGCCGACCCACGAAGTCCGCGCTGGGCAGCTGAAGTTTGGGCCGGCCTTCCAGGTGAGTGCTTGCGCACGCTGCACGGCCACCGGGGTCGCGGCCTGACTGCGGCCGCGTTCTCGCCAGGTGGCCAGGAGGTGCTCACCGCTTCCGTCGACCTCACGGCCAAGATATGGTCCGGGAATGGCCCACATTTTCCTCCTCTTGCTTCCGCCCTTCATCTTCTCCCCCAGTCTAAGGATGCAATTTCTGCGAGGTCAAACTCAGCATCGTCGCCGGTATGCTTGTGCTCGAAAATTGCTTCAATCCGATTCAGTCCTGCCTAATCCAGCCTCTTTCCGTTCGTTTCGGCTTCAACCCAGGCTTGATCCGGCCTAATCCGGCTTAAGAGTTCATTGTTTTTTACACGTTCTCACGAAGTTTTCCCAGAAGCTGCATCATAACCTCTTACCTCCCGTTTCCGCGCTCCCTCTTCCTGCTTTTTTTTTTGTAAGTGTCCGATCACGAACCCCTTGTTGAACGCAACAATGCACCTTTCGCGCCGAAGACCTCTGGAAACCGTCAAAAGACCGTGCGAAGACCGCCGAAGAGTGCCAGAAGGACACCGAAAACGGCCCAGAACCGATGGGCAACAAGGGGACCACGTTCGGACGAGCAACTCTTCTTGCTCCTTCCTCTCTCCCTCCCCCTCCATCTGCCTCTGCTATCACCCCTCCCGCGCCGTGTCCTCATCGTCTCTCGCCCTCTCGATGCTCCTGCTTCCTCTCCCTACCTCCTCCCTCGTTCTGCTCCTCTGTCATCCATTCCCGTTCTCGCCTCTGCTCCCTCCCCGACCCTCCCTTATCCCCATCTTATTCCTCCTTCGTCTTCCTGCCCCCCCCCTCCCGCAAGTCGATCAAGTCTTGCCTCTCTTTCCTTGTCACTCTTTTTCCTTCGTCTCGCTCAACCCTTCTCCCCTCCCTCCCCGTGCCCCCAATGCTTCCTCTTCTTCCTCACTCCTCCCCGTCCTTCCCTTTGAGAGCTCCTTGGGCCTTGAAAACACAGTGACAGCGCACTGGAAACCCAAAGAATTCCTTGGAAGGGCTCCGGACATTTGTAGAAGCGCATGACAGCTTGCAACATGTCTTTCCATTTTCATCTCGTCCCTCGTCCGGAGTCTCCAAGACCTTCCCAATCCTCCAAGAACATTTCGAGACATTCGAGAACATCGGGGTGCATTCGACAACCTGTCACCACGGGCCCGTTCCTCTTTTCTTCATACCTTGTCCTCCCCCGTCTCCCAAGAGTACTGCGCCAAATTGGAACTCCATTGGGCTCTCCGGGCCGCGCCGAGGGGATTCATTGGAGTCTATTTGGGTCTTCCTTGAGATGCTGGGGCCACCTTGGACAAGGACCACCTTGGGCAATTCCCGAATTCCTGAGGCTTCAACTCAGCATCGGCTCTGGTTCTGCAACTGGCTGACGGGGCGCAAACGGTCCTCACGTTACAAGGCAGAAGTTCGCATGCCCGTTTCTGAAATTTCGAAGGGCGGAAGAAGTTCGGCGGCGAAGAAGTTCCGAATATCCATGGCGCGTTTGAGCTTGATGTTGGTCTTTCGAAGTAGTGCCGATTTTGTCCCAAGCTGTTTTGGAACAGCTTCCAAACTTTTCTCAAGCATTGGCACGGTTTAGTCTGTTTCCAGTGCTGTTCCAAACTCGGTCCAGATCTGTGAGCTTTTGTCCGAACTCTACCTGAGCTTTTATAGCTTTGCTCGAACTACTGTTTTTGTTAAGGTATCAACATCGAGCTTCTAATTTTTCCATCCGCTCGAACCCGTATTTGTTGTCCAAGGAACGCCGTCTGTGCCCCTTTCAGCCATAGCCAGCACTTGCTGATCCCGTGTGCAAAACTTGCAAAGTTCGGCAACATCCCGTTTAAGTTTGTTTTATTCGGGCTTGGTATGGGGCTTAGGTTGGCCTGATCTGTCTCAATGCCCCCCCCGCAGCCGGGCTCCAGTCGTAGCCCAGAAATGTTTTTGCGAAGACCTCCCTAGGAGTTGCCTCCTGACGGGTATCTGGGGTTGCTATTGAGATCGGCGGGGTGGATCGTAAGTGCTTCGGGGGGTTTGATGTTGATAGCAACCCGCGTGAAAGTAGGATGGATCCCGTTTAGAAGTGGCACAAGTCCTCCGATCTACTTGTTACTCAGACCCAAGGGGTTCGCGGAGATAGGAAGTGGGGCCACCCGGTTCCCACACTTCATAAGTAGGATCGGCTAAGTGGCCTTACCACTTACGGGGCTTAGGCCAACCAGGTTAGCGAGGATAGCGAAGTAGGTTAGTAGGGCGAAGTAAGTAGGTTGGTTCGGCGACCTTTTAACCAGGAATTCCTCAAAATGTTTCTGATCATTCGTCTTCTCTCGAACTCTCCTCCGCTCCGTCTTGTTTCTCTCTCCCCACCCTTCATGTGCATCCTCGCCATCGTCCCTGCGCGTCTGGGGGGGGGGGGCGAATGTTCCCACGGGGGGGGGTCGTCAACCAGAAGGGGGAGCAAGAGCAGGAGAAGGAAAAAGAGGAGAATAGCCATTTGGGCTCAAGCTTCTTGTTGGTTTGGACGTCACCCTTCCGCGCTGCCGCGGAGTTCTTCACCGCGCCGCTGGGGGGCGCCATCGCGCAGGGGATCCAGGAGGTCAAGCCGATTCTCATGGGAGTGATTGCCGAGCACGAGGCGTCGGGGGAGGACGGCGCGAATCAGATCGTGGTAAAAGCTGAACAGATCATCGAGCTGCTGGTCGGCAGGAAGCTCGCCAACGCAGGGGTGTGGCTGAAGTGCACGACGGTCGGAACCCGCCCCTCTAACCGATTCGGCGCAGGGTTGGAGATCGTGGACGTCCACGACTTGATGAAGGTGATCGTCGAAGGCGGCTTCAGGCACGACGCGTGTCAAGGCGCCGCCTGCTTCGAGATAGCGCCTGGCGGGGCGATGGCAGAACAACACTGGGCGTTCAACGGCAACCTTGCGACGTCCAGCGGCGGCTTTTTGCCCCGGTTCGATGCGTCAGACCTGAAGTTGTTGAGCGTGGCGTGCTCGCACACCGTGGCAGGCGCGAGGTGCGTCGAGCTCGGCGCGCCCGACATGGACGAGAAATTCAATGACGATTCTGGCCGCATTTGTCGCGCAAAGGTGTTGGCCAAGTGCTCTTCCTACGAGCAGCCTCTCACGCGGGGAATGCCATGGACAGTAATTCGCCACGAAGTGGGCGCCGAGATGCCCGAGCTGGCGCGGTTCCTGCAAGAGGCCGTCAACGCCAACAGTGGCGCGGGCCGCCAGCAGACGAATATGCAGACCTTTCTGCAAATACACAAGACCGCGAAGCAGAACATCGAGACGCTCGGATACGCCAAGTGGGAGTCTATCCAGCTACATATCGAGAGGACACGGCCCCATCTCAGCGGACAGGTAGCAGATATGAGCAAGCACGTGGAGCTGTACCCTGGCGGTGACAGTGGGTCGCTCTTGTACGAGCTTCGCGACAACGGCAAAACTGTGGGCGATCGCAGGAGGGGCGTACACGGCTCCTACTTCGGCATGCTTGCGAGGGTCGGCTTCATGCAGTGCCCAGAGTACATCACCGCATGCGTCGCAGCATGCCTCTTCGCCCCCGACCAGCATTGCCGTGATGGAGTGGCAAGATTGCTCAACAGCACGGACATGGCGGTCATCAGGGGGTCGAAGAAGCGCGACGCCCCAGCATTTCCTGCCCCGACGGCAGTGATCAAGTCTTTCTTTGCAGCCGATCCGACGCTGAGCAACGCGCAGCAGGCCGAGCTACTTGGAATCCTGCAGGGGCGCTGGGCGTTGTTTAGTCACAACGAGCAGGTGAAAGGCCGCAAAAAAAGGTATTCCAGCATCAACGCTATCAAGGATCAGTTTCTCGACGAGCTGCTGATGGTTGATTATGGCGTAAAGCCTCCGTGGTCTCGGTCTGAGCAGGTGAGTTCTGCTCCGAAGGAGGCTGTCGGAAACTTCGTCGAATTCACGGCGACGTTTTCAGGCGCGGCGATCAGCGACGGGGCGCCCAAGGCCAGCGGCTTTGTCGTCGGAGCGGCGGTGGCTCTCAAGACTGACAAGTGTCAGGGATTCGCCATGATGGGGGTCAGCTCTGGCGCGGTTTCCATGTCGTCGGTGGGTTCCGCGGAGGCGCCGACGAGCAACGACAGGGAGATCTCCGAGAAGCGGAAGGCCGAGGACGACGAGGGCGACGGCAGCAAGGTCGAGATCAGCAGTAGCCAGCTGGTCGACGAGTACGAGGTGGGCACACGGGCGCCAATGCAGGATGAGCAAAAGGAGGAAGAGGAGGAGGAGGGACATGAGGGGGAGGATGAGGAATAGGAGGAGGAACACTAGGAGCAGGAGGGGGAGAAGAATATCCCAAACCGAAAACAAGGCAGACCCCTCCAAGAACAAACAACCAACCCCAACCACAATCAAACCGACAAATGATTTTAGTCCGGAGCCCTCCCTCTCATCGAGCCCCCATCTCCCTTCTCATCCCCCCGTCGTGCCGCTCCCAGGTGGCCCCCGTTAACTCGATCCTGCGGATCCCCGTGGGCTCGGTCGTCAGGGCAGACAAGCACAAGGACGCCGTGCTTGAGAAGACCAAAGCACAGGTTCCAATCTGCAGCTTCGGCGGAGGAGGAAGCGATGAGGAGGAAGAGACAGAGGAGGGAGAGGAGGGAGAGGAGGAGCAGGAGGAGGAGGAGGAGGGGGGGAGGAGGAGGAGGAGGAGAGGAGCAGGGCGAGGAGGAGGAAGGAGGAGAAGGAGGGAGGACGAGGAAGAGGAGCAGGAGGAAGAGGAGGAGGATGGATGAGGTGGTGCAGAGGCCCATTTGTGATTTCCCATGTGCCTTCGCTTATGTTCGGCACGCGGTCGCCGACGCCCACGCCCGCCGCAGTGAGGGCCTCGAGCTCTCCGCCGCGCTGGACAAGAAGGCCCGCGGCGTTGTGGCCGATGCTTCCCATGCTAAGGGCGAGTTGACGCTTGTCCCTCAGAGCGCAAGCATGAACGCGGCACCGAAGATGTCGAACGGTTCGGTTGAGATCTTGTGTTCCCCACCCCTGAAAGACCTGAAAGTGTTTGCAACGCCGAGGTGCGAGTTGCTCTTGCCAAAGCCAGGTTGCCCTCAATTCGGACACCGCTGCCGCGAATCTGATTCGGTCTTCTGTAAATGTCGCGGTTGGCCCCCACGTCGATGGGCGCGCGTTTGAAACTGAGCTTCCAATTCTAGTTCTTGTGAGTTCGAAGGCCGCCAAGGCTGGAGAGCCCCTGGCGCGCAAGCTTGCCCCAGCCACGAAGGCCGATGCTGCGGCCCCCTCGTCGAAGGCGCGCAGGTCAGCTTCGGTTTCCGAGCCAGCTCGCCCGCTCGAGCATTCTTGTTGAGAGGGAGCGCGCGGAATGACAGTTTAGTCGCGATGCGATGAGAGACTGGGCGACTGGGGAGGGCGAGGAGGAGGAGGGGGAGGTGGAGGAGGGAGGGGGATGAGGAGGAAGAGGCGGAGGAGGAGGAGGAGGGGGAGGGGGGCGAGGAGGGGGAAGATCGCACGTCTTGTAACATCGAACGCTCGCGCTTCCAGCTTCCGTCGCCGATTCGCCCTGCGTCACTTCTGAAGTGCACTGCGCGGGTTCTGGTGCTGAGGGCGCCTGCAGGGCGGAACCAACTTTGAGCATCAGCAACGCACGTTCGTCTGCTCGCGATTACTCGTGCGCCCCGAGAGTGAGACCTCGCAGAGAACGTGATCGAGGACATCGCACTATCGATGCCATCCCCGTTGCATACGCCAGTAACATCAGCACAACTTAGCTGCCACAGCGGGACGACGAAGCCACAGGTATGACCGACCCGCTCCGAATCTACGACCTCGCAATCCGTCGTTAGATTTGGAATGCCATCACGATTGCCGTTGCAACCGTCAGCGTCGCCACCAACATAAACATAAACAACACCAGCTGTGACCTGGTGGGCGTTCTGAGCACTGAAGTGATGTCGAAGTGAATCTACCGTGGCGACGATGCTCCGAGTGTAGAAGCAACGCTCACCTAACTAACACCAATGCGGCCCAGACGCCGAACGCCCATCGACCAAACGCCAAACGATCTAGACACGAAACGTTCAAAGACCCACCATCAACCGACCAAACTATCAAACGCCCAAGGATCTAGAACAACAAACCGACGACCCCCCCCCCCCCCAAAACGGAACAACCACACGCACCCGTCGTCCAATCTTCCCGTGGGTGTGTGCGCGTGTGTGTGTGCGCGTGCGTGTCTAGCTGTTTTGGCTCAAACCCTGCATTCGCAAGCCGCGTTATGTCTGCTTCTGTGCAGTTGCACCAGCCAGTTGCAACATCGGCCGATGCTTGTGTTCACGAAGAGTGGGCTCGTGTGCGTCTCAGCATCGGAGGGGTGATGCAATCCTGCTTCGGCCTGGACCGCCGAAGTAATTACAATCGACGCCATGTGTTCATCACCACCGACAAGCAGGACAGCAAGTTCGTGGAGTTCATGGGTCAGCAGTTCGGCATGCTGGACCACTTGACGGCGCAGCGCAACGCTGAGGTGGACCGCCTCATGGGGTGTCAGCTCGCGCTGCCCAGGTAGCAGGCCCAGGCCTTGACGTCGATGGTGATGGTGAGCCAGCAGTTAAGAAGGCTCGCAAGGACGCCGTCGACGACATCCCGCGCATCATCGAGCTCAGTGTCCAAGTGGGTGGTGCAACGCGCACTGTCAGGGTCGCCGCGGCCGCGATCCGTCGCGCGAAGCTGGCGATCGTGTTCGCTGATGAGGCTCTCGAGCTTCTGCAGATGGAGCCTGACACTTCCATTGAGAGGGGGCCTGATCCCATCGTCGACATCGAGCGCGTCGAGTGGGTCCGCGTTAGGAACTCCGCGAAGACCTCGTACTACGATGGGTCCAGGAAGAAGTGGCGCCAGAAGTCTATGTCTGTCGAGGTCGGCCACAACTTGCAGGAGGGGGCGACAGCCATGGCAAGGGTGCTGGCAGAGCACAGGCAGCAGCATCACACCGAGCCTGACGACCAGGACTGATGATGTTTCTGCATTTTTTGTGCGTGCTGTGGCGCGTGAGCGACTTAGCTCCTGCCCAACCCCCCGTGCGACATGCATTCGACGGGGCATGCTGCAGCCGCGCCCACTTGCTAGATCGTATCCTGGGAACAATCAGACGTGCGAGGCCTCGTTAGAGTCGAGGCTCCATTTCGCCTAGGTTCACTCTGCGGCGCATCATGGAAGCTGGACCGTTGTGGAAGACAACGCATGCAGCAGCGAAGCTTCCAGCCGCCGCGGCAATCTATACCGCACTTAGCGCAGGAAAACACAGCATCAGCATCACATCTCCGCCAGATCATCCCTCCTCACCACCTCCTCTGACCCGATCGGCGCGGACGCGCTGACCTCCCGCATGGAGCGAACTGCCCAGGAGCAGTTCGCTCCTGTGGAGCGAACTCCCCAGGGGCAGTTCGCACGATCGTGCTTTCACCTGTGGGGGAGTTGAAGCAGTTTGTGAAAACCGTTGGTGTCACACGTGCGGACAGTTTCAGGTTTGAGAGCCGAACCTCCCAGCGGAAATTCGCCCCACTGGCGCTAACTCCCCCGCAGAAGCAAGCACGTCCGTGCGAGCTGCTCCTGGGCAGTTCGCTCCACAGGAGCGAACTGCCCAGGGCGTGGCCGGCCTCTGGGAGGGCGGATGTCGAGCCCAGCCTCGGTGGGCCTAGATGGTGCCGTCGGCCACTGGAGTTATGCGGGTTTTGCGGTGCTCAGAGGCTCCTAGAGGCTCCTGAAGGCTCCTGGAGGCATCTCGAAGGCATGCGATCTGGTCGTGTTTCGGAGGGCCCTGGAGGCACCTCCCACCGCCATGCTGCGCTCATGGGGAAGGCCAGGAGGAGAGTGAGGGAAGGGATGAGGATGAGTAGGAGACACGACGAGTTGAGCTTTCGCGACGGAACGCTGGACATCACGAGGAGCGAGAGAGTCACAACGGAGTTGAGTTTTCACAACTGAATTGCATGTTCACCACGGAACGTTGCCGCGAGGAGCGAGCTGAGGGCCAGCCTCAAGCAAAACGAGTTCAAAACCGTTTAGATGCGAAGGCTGTCCTCGCTCCTGGGCCCTCTCCCTCCTTCCCTCCTCCTCCGCCTCCATAGCCATTTGGGCTCCACTAGCTCGGCTTCGATTTTGCGCCCTCGCCTTCAGACGCAAGTTGTCTCTCTCAGAATGTCGGACTCGGCCTTCCATGCCCAGCGCTTGATCTCGATGCTTCGGGGGCGCATCGCATTCGTGAACGCCCAGGCCCACGCGGGCCTCGATCGCAACAGTCTGGCGCAGGCCCAGGTCAACGCTCTGAACGCGAGCTTTGCGGCTCCCCCTGGGGTCGGTTTCGCCGCCGCCGCCGCCGTCGCGCAGGAGATCTCCAAAGGGCCTTGGACGCAGCAGCAGAACATCTCCATGGCCACGACGCTGAACTCAAGGGCTGAGGCCGCTTCGGGCACAGAGCGCGCTGGCGTTGGCCGAGCCCAGCAGAAGCGCAAAGCTCTGCAACTCTTCTTCACAGCCGACGACTGGAGAGCGATCGCAAACTATGACCACTCCGAGATCATGAAGATGCACGTGGTGGCCAACGGGACGCACAAGCTGGGCATCTCCACCGCCCGCGAGAAGCTGCTCATGAGGGGCATCGCGATCGTCGTCTGCTGCCGCCGCCCAGTCGCCTCCGACGGCTCATGCCAAGAAGAACCTGCGCGTGGACCTGCAGAGGCGGCTGAAGGATCTCCATGCTGTCGCGCCTTGGCCTACACGCACTGCGAGTTCTACCCAGCTGCGCCAAACTTGCTGACGCCTGCCGCGGTCTTCGGCCACGCCTCCGCTGACGGGCAACCTGTATTGCCCCCTGTCGAGCTCGATCAGTTGGAGGTTGAGTTCAGTGCAATGCGCTACAGGTGCTCGAGCAAAGCTCTTGGTGGCAGCAGCTCGGCAGCCGTGCCGAACCAACCGAACGCGCACGACCCCGCGGCCCTTGCCGTGCCAGTGCGCCCCCAGCAAGACCCGCTTCAGCTGCTCATGATGCTCGCGGCCCAGGCGCGCGGCGGGCTCGGTGCCCCAGGCATGCCCAACATGTTCGGCGCTGGTGGGTCGAGCAGCAACGGCGGCTGCAGCATCACGTTCACGAGGCCTCCGCAGGAGGCGCGCAGCGTTGACGCGTCGCTCGTCGCAGCTGGCGTTGGCGGTGAGTCGCAGTCAGCTGACTCCCCTCCGACCTCGTCGGGAACGCCTGCTCTGAGCCCGATTGCTCCGAGCCCGACGCCTGCAGCGAGCCCAGAGCTGGGCGCCAGCGTCCTCGGCGCTGCTGGCATCGACGCGGTCGAGAAACTCGAGAGGCACATGCTGGGCGCCGCGGGATCTTCGAGACAGGGGGCGGCGAAGGGCATGGCCAAGGGCAAGGCGAAGGCCAAGGCGAAGGCGAAGGCCAAAGGCAAGGCCAAGGCCAAAGCCCACCACGCAGCTCTGGCCGCCAAGCCCAGCAGCCACGCCATCGACTACTCGCAATGGCTGAAGCCAGTCGACGCCAAGTCCCGCAGTGAGAACGCCTTCGCGAGCCGCGCGTACGATGCGGCAAAGAGGCTGGCGGTGTCAGCTGGCATGGGTAATGTTGACTGCAGGGCGGTCGCCAAGGAGGCGTGCCACAAGGCCAAGATGTTTCACCAGAAGCATGTGAAGAAGTAGGGCCCCTCACGTATGCAGTTCAGTATGCTTCCCTTCGCTTCGTCGGATCAGTCCCGAGCAACGGCGCCATGAGGGTTTGGTGTTAGAGCTGGTCGGTGGAGCCGTGGGTGCAGAAACGCCGTTGCAGGACCTGCACGCTTTTGCTGCAACTAGGGGCTCTGAGAGGTAAGCGCAAGGCTCTCAGAGAAGGCGAGCGATGGTAACGCATCGTCACCACAAGTATTGCTACCACCGTCATCAACAGTAGCCTCCCATCAATAATCGTCATCACCATCAGCAGCATCAGCATCAACGGCCTAAGGCCTGGCCTTCGCGTTCAACGTATAAGGCTTAGGGCCTGAGGCTTTGGGCATAAAGCTTGAGGGCGGAGCAGGGGCCCGGGAGGCGGAGCATTTTTGGAGCATCTTTGGGGGCGTCCTTATGTGCATCTTTGGAGCGTCCCGGGAAGGGCCAGGGCGGGAACCAGGGGGCGGTGGGAGCATCTTTAAGAACATGTTTGGAGCATCCCGAGGAGGATCAGGGCGGGAACCGGGGGGCGGAGCATTTTTGGAGCATCTCTCCGAGCATCTTCCCGAGGAGGACCAGGGCGGGAACCGGGAGCCGCGGGGCATTGTTGGAGCATTGTTTGATCATGTTTGGCGCATTCTTGAGACGAACCGGGGACAGAGCATTTTTGGTGCATCTTTAGGAGCATCTTTAGGAGCATCTTTACGAGCATGTTTGGGCAGTCCCGAGGAGGACCAGGGCGGGAACCGGGAGGCGGAGCATTTCTGGGGCATCTTTAGGCTTAAGGAGCATCTTTGGAGCATTTTTGGGGCATCCCGAGGAGGGCCAGGGCGGGAACCGGGAGGCGGAGCATTTTTGGGGCATCTTCAAGAGTTCGAGAGCATCTTCGGAGCATGTTTGGAGCATCCCGAGCAGGAGACCAGAGCGGGGTCCCCGGGAGCGGAGCATTCTTGGAGCAAGCTTGGAGGAGTTCGCAGCCGCCCCTCAGGGGGGTCGCAGCCGCCCCTCAGGGGGGTTGCAGCCGCCCCTCAGGGGGGTCGCAGGCTTCAGATTATTGCAAAGTCCCCCAGAGGGGTCGCAGGCTCCAGATTTTTGCAAAGTCCACCCCAGGGGGGTCGAAGGCTTCAGATTTAGGCAAAGTCCCCCCAGGGGGGCCGCGCGCTGCATGGCTCAGATTTTTGCAAATTCCCCCCCTGGGCCCCAGGGAGGTCACAGGCTTCAGATTTTTGCAAAGTCCCCCCAGGGGGGTCGCAGGCTTCAGATTTTTGCAAAATACCCCCAAGGGGGTCGCAGGCTCAAGATTGTTGCAGAGTCCTCCAGGGGGTCGCTGGCTCCAGATTTTTGCAAAGTCCCCCAGGGGGGTCACAGGCTCCAGTGGTGAAGCCGTTTGAAAATCGCAAAAATCGCTTGCGCTCCGCGCGAGTTTGTAATGCTTTCCTTTGCTAATTGCAAAAATCGCTCGCGCTCCGCGCTAGCTCCAGTTTGCAAAGTCCCCCAGAGGGGGTCGCGGGCTCCACATTTTTGCAAAAGTCCCCCCAGGAGGGTCGCAGGCTCCAGTAGCGAAATCGCTGGAAAATCACAAAAAATCGTTCGCGCTCCGCGCGAGTTTATAATGAGTTCTCACCAAAACCGCTCGCGCTCCGCGCGAATTGTTAGCTCCAGATTTTGCAAAGTCCCCCAGGGGGGCGCAGGCTCCAGATTTTTGCAAAGTCCCCCATTGGGGGGCGCCGGCTTCAGATTCTTGCAAGGTCCCCCCAGGGCCCCAGGGCCCCTCAGGGGTGTCGCGCGTTTCAGATCTTTGCAAAGTCACCCCCAGGGGGGTCGCAGGCTCCAGATTTTTGCAAAGTCCCCCCAGGGGGGTCGCGGGCTCAAGATTGTTGCAAAGTCCCCCCAGGGGGGTCGCGGGCTCCAGATTTTTGCACATTGCAAAGTGCAAAATCCACCCCCCAAGGGGGTCGCAGGCTTCAGGCTTCAGGGTTCGGATTTTTGCAAAGTCCCCTCAGGGGGGTCGCAGGTCGCAGGGTCGCAGGCTGCAGATTTTTGCAAAATCCCCGCCTCCCCAGGGGGGGCGCAGGCTTCAGATTTGTGCAAAATGCAGCGCCGTGCGCCCTCAGGGACCCAGGGGGGGGTCGCATGCTGCATGCTCCCGGTTTTGGCATCCACCCAGGAGGGCCTATGGCCCATGGCCTATGTTTGGCCGATGGTCCTACGGCCTATGGCCTATGGTCCTACGGTCCTACGGTCCTACGGCCTACGGTCCGACGTCCTACGTCCTGCGGTCCCCGCCTAGGGCGTAGGGCCTAGGGCTGAGGGCCAAGGGCCCAGGGCCTCCTGGGGCCTAGGGCCTAGGGAGCCGAGGGCTTAGGGCCTAGGGCTAGGGCCTAGGGCCTAGGGGCCTGGGGGTTTCTTCAGGTAGGGAACGAGGGAGTAGGGGGTAGGGGCCCATCATCAGGCATTAATCATTCGTCAATGGGATGCAGCTGTGCAGGCTTCCTAGCTCCTAGCACGTTGCATCGCTGGGTCCAGCTCTCCAGCTTCCAGCTTCCAGCTCTACTCTATACTCTATAGCTCGATAGATTGCGGGAGTCTTGGGCATCTTATATCCCATAACCTATAACCGAATAACCCATAACCAATAACCTGTGTAGCTATCGAGCTATCTAGAACTTAGAGCTTAGAGACTACAGGATTGGAGATCTAAATTCTAGATTCAATACAAATTCCTGTAGATTGGCCATAGACCATAGACTCCTTACTCCTTAATATGAGTTTTTGGTGGCGGCGGCGGCGGCGGTGCCGTCGGCGCCGAAATCCGAAACCCGAAACCCCGCGTCGGCGTCGTCGCCGTCGTCGGCGGCGTCGGCGTCGGCGTCGGCGGCGGCGGCGGCGGCGACGGCGACGGCGGCCGCGGCGGCGTCGGCGCCGGCGTCGGCGATGGGGAGATTTTCAAAACGCGCCCGAAACCGAACGAACGCGAAAACCGCGCGAGCATTTTCCGGAGCATCGTCAAATTTCGCCGAACCCGCGCGAGCATTTTTCGGAGCATCGTCAAATTGCGCCGAAGTGCGAGCATTTTTCGGAGCATCGTCAAATTGCGCCGAACCCGCGCGAACATCACAAGCGAGCATCAAATGGAGCATAAATGATGCTTTCAGCATTTCCCAGAGATGAGCTTGAGGGGCGCATCTTAAGGGTAGCCAAGCTATGGCCAGGGACTGAATGAGCTCTGGGGGTGGGCTTCTAACTACACGCCGAGCCCCCCCCCCCTTGCAGGGCGTTAACCTGCTTAGCCCACTTCGGCTAAGCCATTTGGACCACTTGGCTAAGTCCACGCTGGCCCACTTAGGCAAAGTAGTTAGTTCTATCCTGTTTAGCTAAGTCGCCAAAGTGGGTGGCTATCCACTTAGAAGTGGCCTATCCACATAGTAAGCGGGCCGCCGATCTCAGTAGAGGCGTCCCTGGCCCAAGGGGCCCCCTTGCGGTTCATCTTAAAGCCCCTGATGCCCTCTGGGCCTCGGGGGGGGTTGCTCCGGAGGCCGTGGGGGCCTCCCTGGAAATCCTGGGGGCACCTTGGGCCAAGGGCACTTTTGGCAACACCAGACATTAGGCCAGAACCACCTCGGGCTACACCCGATCCTCGTCCCTCCCCTGGCAGGTCAGTGGAATCCGGGGAGTGCCGCCGCACGCTGCGGGGCCACCAGGGCGACCCGACCTCGGCGGCCTTCTCGCCGGACGGGCGCGAGGCGCTGACGGGCTCGCGCGACGCCACGGCGAAGATTTGGTCCTCCCTGCTCGAGGAGGAGGAGGAGGAAAAGAAAAAGGAGCAGGACCAACGGCAACGTTTGGGGAGGCTCGAATCGAAGAAGAAGAAGAAGAAGAAGAAGAAACATAAGGAACAAGTAACTGCATATACATACACTTTCGGCGCTCCGCTCGGATTTCTTGGATCCGCGCTGGGCCCTCCCAGCGGCGCCTCTGGCGTCGCCCCTTGCACGCTCCGCGCGCCAGGCAGGGGGAGTCCAGCGCAGATCCAAGAATTCCGCGCAGACCTCCAACAGTTTATGCTCATGCGTGTTTTTCCTTCCCCTGCGAGGGGGAGGGCATCGGCGCCCGATCGCCCAGTCATCGCCGATGGGGGCCCGGGAACCCGCCCAAGCCCAGAAAAAGTTGCGGGCTCGCTCATCGGAGGACCACCGCCGGTCTATCGGCGATGTAGTTGACGCCGGTCCCAGCTCGATGCTTCTCCACCTGAGCTGGTCTCCCCTCCGTCACACGTCCCGGCCACGCGCAGATGGGGACAGGTGGAGAGGGGAAGGCTTCTTAGAAGCAGCCCTTCTTCTTCGAAGGTGCGGGCATTCTCTATAGACGTAGGGCCGGCGCCTCCTGAGAAGCAGCCTCCTTCTGAGAAGCCTATTCCCCTCCCTCTCCTCCCCCTGTGCGCGCTGCCACGTTTCCCCTCAGAGGTGGGGTTTTGCTATTGTGTGGGTTTACGTTTCTGATGCGCTTGGATTTTGTGTGGACGCTGTTCTCTAAATGTTTGGGTTTCAAAGAGAAGGCGCACCGGCATCACCGCCAACACGGGGCTACCACCCAGGAGAAGGCCCAGAACGTCTTCCCGGTCGCGCCGCCTCGTGGGCGCCCCGCGCTTGGTGTGCAAGTGTGTGTGTATGTGTGTGTGTGTGTGTGCGTGCGTGTGTGTGTGTGTGTGTGTGTGTGTGTGTGTGTGTGTGTGTGTGTGTGTTTGTGTGTTTGTGTGTGTGTGTGTGTGTGTGCGTGTGTGTGCGTGCGTGCGTGCGTGCGTGCGTGCGTGCGTGCGTGTGTGTGTGCGTGTGTGTGCATGTGGCCTCATGTGTGTGTGTGTGGGTGTATGAGATTGTGCGTGTGTCGTGCCGCCTTTCTTGGCGCCTCGTGGGCGCCCACGCTTGGGGGGCATGTCGGGCTTCCAACACGTAGCCGACCGTGCTGCCTCGTGGATGATCCATGCCTGGAAGGTATGCCGGGTTTTCGCCACGTTTCCACCTCGTTGGCGCTTCCTGAATTTACCCGATATAGTTGTCACTACATAGTTTCGACCATTTAGCTTACACCACATAGCTTACACCGCATAGCTACACCACATAGCTTACACGCCACAGCTCTAGCTCGCATAGCTTCACCCGATTACATAGCTTACCCCCCAAACCGACATGGCTTTCACCTCCAGCTCACACCACATAGCTTGCACGACATATCTTACATCACATAGCTTGCACCGCATAGTTCCCGCCTCCACAGAGCGGGCGCCACATGGCTTATACGGCCTAGCTTTCACCACGTAGCTTACATCGCGTACCTTCCACATCCTCTGTGAGAGAATTCGCTGTTTGGGGCCCACGCTGGCTAACACACCCATGCAGCACAACGACAACAACAGCACACAACAGGACTCGCTCCACCCGTCAGGTCCGCGGAGACCGGCGAGTGCCTCCGCACGCTGGAGGGCCACGCCGACCGGGTCTCGGCGGCAGTGTTCTCCCCGGGCGGCGAGGAGGTGCTCACCGCCTCGCACGACGGCACCGCGAGGGTCTGGTCCGCGCGCTCGGGCGAGTGCCTGCGCACGCTGGGCGGCCACCTCGACCGGGTTTGGGGCGCATGTAATCTGTGGCCAATTGGTCGGAATGGGCGCGGACAATTTGAGAGGAAGACGCGAAGACCGAGAGCAGTTCTTGCCCAGTTCGGACAGGAATCGTTGCTGGTGTCGCCGCGGAAGTTGTCCATTTGAAACCAGAACTCGCCTTCCGAATAGCGTCAGACGTCGTAAGTGGACCATACTTGTTGTTGGGCATTGTTATCATCTTTGTCCGTTCCAATGTCGAGCGCTCGTAATCTGCGACCACTTGCGCGCCCCAGATTGCCGTCGATATGGCCGCTTGCAACAGGTAGAAGTGATGTGCAGAGCAGCTCGTGGATCGCCGCATCGACGCCTTCCGTCGACATACTTGCTCAAGTCTTTGAGGGCGCAGCCGCTCTCGTCCCATGCTGGACCGGGGACTCGGGCCCCCGCTTGTGGCCCACCTCAGCGCGATAGGCCTGGCGCGCTGGTGGTGGCTTGCTGCGCCGAGGGCTTCGCCGCTGCCGCTGGCGCCTCCCTCTGCCCGCGCTGGCCCTGGGCCGAGCGCCGTGGAGGCTGACGAGGCGGGCGCTCACCTTGTGCCTCTCTCTGGCTGCATCTCGGAGGCCGTGGAGGCCCGCGAGTGGCACAGGTGCCCGTCGCCCTGTGCCCGTTGCCCGGCCTGCCCTGCGGCAGGCGAGGCGGGGCCTTCGTGGTCGGTCCAGCTCGGCATCGGGCTACTCGGGCTGATCATCGGCGAGGTGGGGAAGGTGGTGTTTGCGGCAGCCGCGCGGCTGCGGGTGGCGCTGCAGCGCGCCGTCGCCCCTTGCGGCATCCGAGTCCAGGCGCGGGGCGGGGGGCCCCCCGCTCGGGCTGGAACAGGGCATTCCGCTTGCGGCCGCAGCGACCGTCGTGGAGGTCGACTTGGCGGAGCTCGCGGCGCCGCAGGCGCGCGGTAGCCGACTCAAGCAGGTGCAGTCGCGCTGATGGCGGGCTCGTTCTACTTGGTGCTATACCGAGTGGCAGGACCGCTCCTATGGCACGAGCGTCTGACGCTCGGAGAAAGGGGCGCCCTGTCGCACATCATGATTCCAGGCGGGGACGACTACGACGAGGCGAACGCGCCCGGGCCCGACGTCGCGGAGGTCATCAGGCTGGTCGGCCAAGGCGCGACGCCAGGCGGCCTCGGAAGAGGGCGCGTGCATCGGTTTCGGCGCTTGCCGACTGATTGAGAGGCCTGGGGCGCAGTGGCCGGCGAGATCGCTGCTGGGTTCCCTCGGCCGCCTGCGCCAGTTTTGAACCTGGAGCTGGGGGCTGGCAGCGTGCTCGGGGTCCCCGCTGGTGTGCACGCGCTGGCTGACCCTGGGGCCGCTGGAGGGCCTGCTGCCGCTGGTGCTGGAGGTGCTGGAGGTGCTGGAGGTGCTGGAGGCGGAGCTGCTGCTGGGGAGGCACACGTTGTTCAAGATTACCTTCCGCCTCACCGATGCCGACCCAGGCGTGGTGGAGCACGAGGAGCGCAGCCGCATCTTGCAGGAGGGCGTGTGCTACGACCAGCTGAACGTGGCGGCGTTGGCCTCCTACGAGGTAGTGTGCCGCTCCCTGCAGGTTCAGGAGGAGAGGTATCGCCGCATCCTCAACGTGGATCAAGACGACGAGAGCTACGAGAGGCACCTGTTCCTCGGGAGTCAACACTCGAGGGGCGACTGGCATTTTGTGCGTCTGCCCGCAGTTGCAGACGCACGTGGCTGTCGAGCTGGCGCGCGAGGCGGCGCTGGCCAAGGAACGCCGCAAGGCGCGCGAGGAGAGAGCCGCCCCGAAGCCCGATGCCAAGATATCAGGCAACAAGGGCCAGCGGGGGCAGGGGGCTCGAGAGCCCCGCGGCGTGGGGGCTGGGCAGCCCGCGCCGCGCTTGCCCTAGCCCGCGACGACATCGGCTCTGCGAAGGCATGGGGGGGAGACCGCCAGCGTCCCTGTCCCTGTACCATCAATGTTGCCGCCGTCCTGCTAGACGCTGCGTTCTCCGCCGCCGTCTTCGAGCTGCCCATGCCGATCAGGGGGCCTCCGATGGCGTTGATGTGCTGAGCGATTTGCATGGTAGTTTTGGCACCCGCTCCGGCGTCAGCCCCAACGCGGGCCAGCGTTTGGCCCTGGAACATATTCGCCAGAGGCATCGACGCGTTGGACCACCTCCTGCAGATCTTCATTCAGGACACGGGGCCCTCTGCGCGCTCCTGTCTGGCGCGCCCGGCTACACTGGTGGTGGCGGGCCCGCCGCCCCCTTTGACGGCGAAAAAATCGCCTGGCCGCCATTCTCCAGCAGGCCCGCGTTCTTAACCGGCTCGTTGGGCGACACGGGCGCCACGCGGCGCAGGGAGCGGAGGGGGCACGTGCCACGACCGACCCGGGCCGCCCGGAGCTTCCGCGCCGAGGCCTGCCCGCGGGGCGCATGCGTCGACCCGCTGCCGAAGCGCGACGCTTGCGATTTCGCCACTTGTCTGAGAGAGGCCCGGCGCCGAGGCGTGCTGACTTGGAAGCGCGGTCACGGCGGGAACATAGGATTGTTTTCCGCACGTCGCAAGGGCGAGCGCCTCCGGGTAATCTTCGACGCGAGGGCCATACATTGCGACGGTCTGTCTGCTCCATCCACGCGGCCCCCAACGCCATCAGCCTATGGCGCGCTGGGGGCCGATCACCAGGTGCTCATCGCGTCGGGCGACCTGGAGGCCGCCTTCTACCGCGCGCTAGTGCCGCCCGACATGGTTGATCGCTCTCCCTCCCCAGCTTGGGCGCGGGGCTGCTGCTGAGCTGTGGCGTCGCCGGACTGCCGGCTGGCGCTGGGGGGCCCATCGCGCCTTGCCTGCGCACCCTGCCCGCGGATCGCTCGCGGGCGCTGCGCCCCTGCCGGGGCGCGCTTCGGGGGGGCTTCCGCGAGGGCGGCTTCTCGCCCAACCGCCTCGTCGAGGACGGCCAGCCCGGGCGGCGCGCGCAGCCCGGGGGGCCGCCGGCGGCCGCGGGGCACGTCAAAAACTATTTCGTGCTCGATGCCGACGCGGAGGTCGCCAACCGCGGAGCTCCGGCCGTGCGGGAGCAGCTGGTGAAGCTGGGTCTGGGGGTCCGCGATCAGGAGTCTGCTTGCCTCGACGCGGAGTTCTTGGGGCTCAGCCTGTCCGAGGAGCGGTTCCTCGCGACGCGGCCCAAGTGTCTGGCGCCTGCGGCTGGTGATCGAGAAGCTGCTGCGCGGGGGCAAGTGCAGCGGGGCGCTCGTGAAGGTCTTCTTCGGCCACGTCACTTGGGCTGCGCTGCCGCGTCGCTCGGCACCCTGCTCCGCGCGCGCGGCGCGCGCCTTCGTCGCCGAGGCTGGGCCAGAGCCCACCGCTGCGGCAGTGCGTGAGGCGGGAGCTGCGGCGGGTGCGCTGCCGGCTGCTGCTGCTGCAGGCAGACCTGCCGGCGCCCTGGCACTCGCGCGGGCGGTCGCGCCCGACGCCTCGGAGTTCGGGCTCGGGCTTGTGCGCTGCCGGCTGCCGCCCGAGCGGGTCGCGGAGATCTGTCGCCAGGTGGGGCGCTGGCGCCATCGCGTGGAGGGGGGCGCTCGCGCCCGTGAAAGAGCACTCGGCCTTGATGCCGCCTCGCCGCCCCCCGCCCCTGGCGCCCTGCAGCCCCTGAAGTTCCCGAGCGTCTCGGAGGCCAGCTTCGGCGAAGTTCCCATGGATGTCTCGGCGGAGTCGTCTTGGGCGGGCGCCCCGGCGGCGATGGTCTCGGAGGTCATGGGCGTTTTGGGCCTCGAGGGTGAAGCACATGTTCTTGGGGCTCGTCATTGTCCATTGAGTTCAACGACCTCTGGGAAGCGAATAGCAACGCCGGTGGACAACCTACCCTCGGCCCTAGCGGCCACTAAACGTCGGGCCCGCCCTCGTCGTCCACAAGGGCCGCCTCGGAAGTTGGCGGCCCTCAGCTTGGCTTCAGGCGCGCGCATCTACGTTCGCTGGGTCACTTCAGAGCTCAACCCGTCTGATCCGTTCTCACATCGTTTACACGCGGGCTGCTCCCATCGCCAGCGCGGCGGCCACCTCTGCCCTTGGGCCAATTGGGAGGTCACCTGCCGCGCCCGATGCCGCGTCGCCCTGGCCGCCGGCCCATGGGCGGCACGCATGCCGGGACACGTGCCAGCCTGGCTCTTGACCTGCTGGCCAGCCGCCAGCCGATAGCGGGGCTCTGACCGCTGGAGCAGCTGGCGATCAAGGAGACAACCAAGACCCCCTACGGAGGCTTGTGCCAGAAGTTCACGGACTACTGCGCCCTCCACCATGTCTCCTGGTGCTCGATCGAGCAGCTGGATCTTGCTGTCGCGGGCTTTCTGAACGCCCAGTTCCAGACCGGCGCGGCCGCAGCCGAGAAGAGCCAACTGCTGGCAGCCCTGTTCCACTTCCTGCCGGAGGCGCGGCGCGCCGGCAAGCCTGGTCTCGCGGAGAGCTGGATGCGGCGGGCGCCCAGTTTCACGAGGTGCCTCACGCCGCTGTCCGCCACTGTCGCGATCTCGGGGGTCGCCCTGGCTCTGGGGCGTGCGCGGATCGGGTTGTGGATCGCGATCTCTTTCGAGTGCTACCTCCGCCCGTTCGAGTGCTTCAAGCTGAAGGGTCTTTATCAGGTCAGACCCACCACGACTGCTGGTCCTGCGCATCAGGCCGGGGTTCTACTCCTTCACGATGCGGCAGAGGCTCGGCCTGGAAAGACAGGCCTTCGAGGGGCCCGCGCTGTTGGATTCGCGCGCGTTCCTCAACCCACTCCTGTCGGCGCTGAAGCAAGCCTCGCGGCCAGATGAGATCCTGCGGTCGTTCGGTCCCGCCGAGCTCCGCGCGGTCTGCGCGCGAGCGGTGCCCTTGTTTGAGCCTGGAGAGCCTGGGGCCCCATCCCCACTCGCTTCGACGCGGCGGCGCGTCGGGCGACTTGCTGATCAATCGCAGCGCCGTCGAGCAGGCGAGGCGCCGCGGGCGCTGAAAAGCGGCTTCCTCCATGGCCAGGTATGCCGAGGAGTCGAATTTGCTGCGGGAGATCAGCCTCGCCCCGCTTGCCAGCTTCAAGTTCGGGGAAGTGGTGGGGCGGAACTTTCAGCTGATCGCGGGGCGCGGCTTCATCTAGTCGGGCGTGATCGACCGCGCCCCCGGCCCGCTGAAGCTGCAGATTTGGCGCCCTTCCGAGGCGGGGCCCGCTGGGCTTCGGAGTTCCGACTCCCCGAGCTGCAGGCTGGCCGCCCGCGGGCGGCCCGCGCGCGCCGCGGAGGGCGCCCTCGGGGCGGCCCGCCGCCGCCCCGCCGCTGGCGCGGCGCGGCGGCTGCGGCGCGAGTTCCGAGCCGCGCTGCGAGACGCGACTCGACGCCGCCGCTGCGTCTTCCTGGGGCTGTTCGCGGGCTCAGCTGGCGTGGGGCGGCAGCTCAAGCAGGCAGGGCACGCCGTGGTGCCGCTCTATATCCAGATGGGAGTGCACGGGAACCTGCTGGCGCGCGTGGTGATGAGGTTGCTGCGAGGATGGGTGTCCTCTCGCGCGGAGCTAGGCGTCTTGTTCGGGACGCCGTGTACGACATGGTCGCAGGCCCTGAGGCAGCCTCTCCGCTCTGTTGCCGCTCCCATTGGCCTTGATTATCTCGCTGCTTCTTAGATAGCCCGCTCGAAAGTTGGCCACGCAACGCCCCGTGCATCATGCCGCCTGGTAGATTGCTGTTGCAAAGTTGGCGGATCAGTGTTTCTCGAGAGCGCTGGTGGATCTTTGATGTGGGAGGCCCCTCGCATGTTGAGTTTAAGACGAGCTCGCGACTGTTCGGAGGCCCGATTACATCAGTGTCAGTTTGGAACTTTTTGGTAGAAGTCGTATTATTGTGTGGCGGGGGGGCTGTCTGTCTCATCTTCAGCGCTGGTGTCATGCAAGCGGCAAGCTTTGTTCTAGAACGGAATTGCCGCATCA